TCTCGAGATACCACCAATGTGGACATATATAGTTTAACTAGACAAAGAACAAAGGCAAACCAATATTATTCAAACATATTTGGTTATTTTCTGCATTTGTTGCCAAAATATATCACAATTTCATATATTTGAAAGTTTCAAATAATTGCTTGCTCTTGTAAGTGCGGGCTATTTTTGTCTTCTTTATTTTGCATGGAAGGACAGAAAACTATTGAAATCCCTCTTTCTTCTTCATGTCTCATGAGAACATATTCTGATTTTTAGCCATTTATATCTGATCTAATTTGGAGCTGCGCCCTAGTTTTGCTATGAACATCTTTTACTTTGTAGGGTTCAGCTACAATGGAGAAGATCATGACAGTTGCAATGATTTCTAGGAGGCTTCTACTGGAAGAACCAGAGACTGTATGTGTAACTCAGTTTGAAGTCATCTTTCACATGTTGAGATATCATTCTGAGGAAAATTATAGCATTAATATATAAATTTCTTAAATGAAATCCTTGCATCTTAATACTTCTTCACACATCATGTTATTCTTTTTTCTAAAACTGATGAAATTTCTCTACCTTTTGAAATGCAGAATCAGCAGTCCATGCCTATTAGTGATCGTGACCAGATAGAGTTATATATTTCATCATCAATTAAGAGTGCATTTGCAAGGGTGAGTATTCTAGTTGTTTATTCTAAATTCTGATAACTTAATTAACCTTGTGAAGTTGTTTAAATATACCTTTCTACCCAAGCGGCTAATTAGTTATTACTAGCAATAGGCTTCCAAGCTAAACCTTCCTGAAAAGGTCAAACTGAGAACTCCTCTGAACAAAGCTTCTTGAATAACTGAATAGAACCCCTGCTATTATAACATTACATCTCCTACATGTTTTTGTTTCTTGTATGTCTCCTACTATGGGTTCACTGTACTATGGAAAACACTGAGCTAGCATCTCCTTCTGAGCCCATTTAATTGTAGCTTTCAGCCACCAACTAACCTTGTCTAGTTCATTTGTTAAAACTAATTTTCGTGCTTGTTGATCTTCTGACAACACCCCACTTCTAAGGCTGCTATTTATGCACCTAAGACATGTAACAACCCTCTTTCTAATCCTAATAACTCCACTTGAAATGGTTTTGTGCCTTTCTTGTTTCTACCTGTGAATCGTAAAGTGTATGGGATCATTTTATTTCTCTTTTGTTTTCCAATGCAAAGTAGAGGATAGAGAATACTTTCTTTGGTTTTTCTGTTTAAGCAATTTCTTTTCTTTCGACAGATATTGCCAGTTGTTGATAGACTGGACACATCACATGGGCATCCGCTGGCATTGCTTGCAGAAGAACTCAAGAAACTCCTTAAAAAGGATTCAGGAACTTTCATGCCTATTTTATCTCAGAGGCATCCACAAGCAACCATTGTGTCTGCAACACTTGTTCACAAACTTTATGGGAACAAATTGGTGAGTGCCTATATTTTGTTTTTGTTTATCTATATTTTCCTGATGAGAGTTTGGAAGATATTAAAATAGTGAAAATTGATTGATCATATTTTCAGAAACCTTTTATGGATGGTGCTGAGCATCTGACTGAGGACGTCATTTCCGTTTTCCCAGCTGCTGAAAGTCTTGAGCAGTTTATAATAGTTCTTATTACATCTGTGTGCGAGGAAGAGATCTGCAGGAAATTGAATCAATACCAGGTTTGGTAGTTAGAATTATTATTGTTAGAGTAAAACAATTTCTTGTTTGATCCCTGGAATGTGATGATCCACTACTGTAACAAGCTGATAATAAGACTAAAACCAGAAATAGACAACAAGAGAATGGGAATAACTTGAGATTGATAATACTGATACTGCATAACGAAATCAGATTACAAGAAAAATGATGATTTAAGCCAAACCATATCTCTCATACACCCAAATTATAGAAATTACAATCAAATAACAGTGATACAAATACGTGAAACATAATGGGGTACACATCAACTCATTACAACACAGAACCATACAGGAAAGAAAAAGCAACACTGGCTTTCGAGAGGTCTCCTTCTTAGCCTTACTTCACTTCCGAAAGTCTGAACTCCTCTTCCCTAATAGTTTTTGCGCATGATTTAGATTGTCACATGCTTTTTTATTGCCTATTAGTTTGTTGATACACACATACATATGTGTATGTGTATGTATATATATATCTCAAATAGTTCTACATTAGAAATTTTAGAGGTTTGGCAATATAGCTTTCATGACTTTATTTCTTCTAAATATGTTCTATGCCCTCCTGCTGTTATAGATTGAGACAAAATCTGGCACGTTGGTTTTGCGTTGGCTCAATTCACAGCTTGGAAGAATTTTAGGTTGGGTGGAGCGGGCTATTCAGCAAGAGGTGAACATTGACAATTTTTTTATTCCTGTAAAATATTAGGCATTTTGAATTCATTCTCTTTGTACGTCTGTAACTAGGTAGGGTATAATCAATGATTATACTGTCCAGCATCATTGTTTGTTGTCAGCATTATGCTGCTCTGCTGTGCACATTTTAATTTTTTGCCAATATACTTTCACAGCATTGGGATCCAATATCTCCTCAGCAGCGTCATGCAAATTCCATTGTTGAAGTATACAGGATTGTGGAGGAGGTAAGAAACTTGTAGGTTCTTCGTCTTTATTTTACAACTTTACCAAAAGAATAGTTTTCATGGCCCACCAACCAGATAGGCTTTTACTATAGGTCATCTTTGAGGAAAGAATGCGATAAGGCAAATAGTCATAAATTAGAAGAATTGGTCTGTATCTGCATCCATGTTTTCTGCATTAAGTATTTAGTACATTACACAAGATGAGAAACCTTCTATTAATCTCCAATGTGCAAAAATAGAGGAAGGGAACAAACACTAAGGAAATGACCAAAAACAAGTTCAAATACTTCAAAGGAGCTTCCCCAGGGAACATGGATATAGCTTTGTCTCTTCTACATCTTTCCAGAACCTTTTCTCTGCTGTAAGGAAACTCTATCAAATTCATTTGCAAAAGAATCCTTCCCTCTTGAATGATGGTATTTATAGTATTTTGTTAGATTTTATCAATGAGATTGATTATGCTTATAATAAAGTATCAGAGGTCAAGGTCTAGCTCTATTATTTCCGGGGCCTTGTTTTACCAATGCTACTGGGAAACTAAGTGAAATTGTAACAAACTAATGTTAGAGGCAAAATTACTATCTTACCCAGCTGTCTCCTAAAGTTTTGACTTAATTTTGTTATCGTGTGCAGACGGTGGACCAATTTTTTGCTTTTAAAGTTCCGATGAGGACAACAGAAGTAAATAGCTTGTTTCGTGGCATTGACAATGCTCTTCAAGAGTATGCGAAGCATGTTGTTGATGGGATGGGTGAGTAGATGCTTCATAATTTTTTCTTCTATACATTATTTAACGATGGAATCGATTGTCTGTTTTCTGCAGACATCTGGATTTTGTATCTGTGGAAGAAGGATTTGAACCCTCATGTTATTTTAATGTCGAGCTTGAAAGTTTTTTTTTTCCTTTCCAGTTCTCTTTTAAGCATCTTTCTATGTATTTTATCCCTCTACAATAATTTTGATCAATATGATAGCATCTAAGTCTCAAGGATAGAGATCAAACAAGAATTGGTTTCAGACAAAGCACAATAGCATCCTATGATCCTTGTAGCTAACCCCACTTAATGGGATAAGGCTTTTGTTGTTGATAGCTTATAAATCCCTCTGATAGAGATCAAGTTGGTCATTTTCTAGTTATCATGACAACCTATTTCAATTTCGTTTGAATGTTGCTAGACAATTGATGTGAGCAGATGGCAAAGTAGCTTCTATATTTATTCTCAGTTTATACATGGCATAACCCAAGGGCTAGACTCACTCAAGCAGGAATTATCTGTTATATCTGGAAGTTTTGGCATTGAAAATTGAAATTGTATTTTTAAGAAAAACTTTTAATTAGATACTTGTTAAGTACTGGTTGCTTTTTAACATCCAGGTCAAACTAATGTAGTTAAATACTTGTTTGGTGCATCCATAAGCTTGGTGTTTACATTCCAGGATTTTATGTACTTGATTATCAGTATATTGCCTTTCTCCTTAACTGTTGTCATTTGCAAAAGGCTTCATGATTATCTGGAAGGAATTATGGATGTGTATCCAGTGGATGAATAATTTTTCTATAAATTCTTCCCTATGAATCTTTATATATCTGTTTGGACTTTCCTCTACCCTTTAATTGCACAGCTAGCAAGGAAGACTTAATACCACCAGTGCCTATACTCACACGGTACAAGAAGGAGGCTGGAATAAAGGCTTTTGTGAAGAAGGAACTGTTTGACACTCGGGCACCTGATGAGACAAGATCCAGCGAAATTAGTGTTCTAGCAACTTCGACACTTTGTGTTCAATTAAATACTTTATATGTGAGTTCAAGCAAACCTGATTGTATTGGGTCATCTTTTTCCTGTCTTATTTTAGTGATTTGAGGATATTTCGTTTGCACAAGACTTGGATAATGTTTAGGTTTGTTATTAGGTTTTCTAATAAAAATTGAAACTTTCTCTCCGAATCATCTTATCATTTGAAATAATTCATTGGTGGCCCTTTTTCTTTTTCCCTTTCATTCTCTGCTGCCAGTTTGTAGTTTAAAGCATCATACAATTGGTCAGATCAGATGTTGAAACAAGTTTTAAGGTTCATGAGGGGGATGAGTAATGTGATTACCTTCTGCATAGTCTAAAAGCTTTATTTCTTTATGTTTTTCTCCCAGATTGTGTCTTTTCCCATTGCTGAAAACTAATAATCAGAATTCCCTTTTTTAGATATTACTAAGTACATTGAGCTTGATTAAGGAAATCAACTTATGATTGCAATATGAAAAATCCAAGAAGCCATACTATTCATAAGCCTTGTGTAGTGTGGCTTCAGTTTATAATTTTACTGTGCACAAGGCACATAAACAATACGGTTTGTACTGGAATCTGTCTTAGTTTATTCTTGTATTAGTTATTTATCTGTATCTCTTCTCTCTATTTTACTATCTGAATGTGAATTTTGAATTTCCCAAACCTAAAATTTTGTTCAAATTAAAATATCCGCTGATAAAAAATTTCTATTGGGTTATTATTTATCTCGTGCATTGCATTGCACAGCAGGGAAAAAAAAAAATCTAATTTTGGTCCTAAACTGTAGATAATAATCAACACAGAGTTGGGAACTGCTGCGTTGTGCAAGTCATCTGATGCTATTGTGGAAGCTCTTTCCACATGATTGTCTTTTTTTGCTCTTCTTTAAATCTTGGTGTGGCATGTACCAAATACATTTATTTATTAAATTCTTCCATTTTTGTGGCATTAAGCTGATGCAAATATTTCTACCATCTGCAGTATGCGATTACTCAGCTCAATAAACTGGAAGATAGCATTTGGGAGCAATGGACGAGTAAAAGGTCCCAGGAAAAACTCATAAGTAAGTGGCTGTGGCAAGTATTTCTGCATATACAGTATGCAAAACCTATTTTATGAACAGGGGAAAAGAAAGACATGAAAAATAGAGTAAAAACTTCTTTGTTCACCATGCTAATCATAAGTGAAAAACAGAAATTAAGAGAAAAATGAAAATTTGATCCTACTTATTTTGCTAGGTAGAATATATAACCATTTGATGTGGCCTGTTAAACAAGTTGGAAGGATTCTTTTTGAAAGGAACAGCAGGAATTATTAATAAAGCACTTCCTGTAATTCTTTATATTTCCTTTTTGACTTGACTTTTGCTAATTTATTGAGGATGTCCTATCCTTCAGATCTTAGCTTGATCTTTTTATCCATCTGCTAAAATCATTAATTAAAGATGGTGATTTAGTACTTGCTATGTGAGACAGCATTCATTCTCTTAATGCAGTTATGCCATCTTGGACGACATGCTCTGCTATGTTGATGCAATCATGATTATGGATCAAAACTGTCGTACTGTACTGATTTTGAAAGATGCTTTTGTGATTGACATTATGATCAATGAACTGCATAATTATGGTCATGTCTTATTTGTTTCCTTTGCAAACAATAATTTTTTGAAGAGAGGTCTTAAGAAAGAGGATAAGAAATGCTTTCTTTGGATGCTTGTTACTTTGAATTATGTTAGATAATTCTTGATGCTTGATTGATTTTTTTTTCTTCTTCAACGATTAGAATACTGAAAATATTTGAATTTTACCTTCTTATATGAAATTTTGCATTGTAGAGAAATCCATGGACGAGAAGTCCAAAAGTTTTGCACAGAAGGATATCTTTGATGGGTGTAGAAAATCTATAAATGCTGCTTTGGACCGCATTTGTGAGTACACAGGTAACATCTTGAAATTTCATATCTTCCCTTGAAATTTAAACCCGTTTGATCAACGTATTAATTTAACTATTCTCTTGCAGGAACTAAAATAGTCTTCTATGATCTGAGAGGGGCATTCATAGATAACTTATATAAACCCAGTGTCTCAGGTTCTAGAATGGAAGCACTAATCGAACCACTTGATGTGGTAATGTTTGTCTCATTGGAAAGATATCATATTCTGCCATATAGTTTTCACTTGATAGGTTTTACTTCAGAAATGTAGTTATGATTGAAATGAAATTATATGATGTTAAAAGTGAAATCACATGTTAAGTCAAATTTCTAGTTTGCCTACTTTGTCAGCTTCTTTTCTGATGAATACTTGGACACAAATTTAGGTATCAGTTTCTGCGTTGTTACCTATTCAATCATATGTTTCTTTCCCTCAAAACGTTGGATTAAAGAGGAGTTGAAAGTATGTGAAGTGTTCCCCTTCTTCCTTTGTTTAGAGGCATATAAAGTGGGTTAAATGTGAATGTGAGGGCCCATTTGGTTCAATGAATCATAGGGAATGTAATGTTTTTGGGAATGGAATGGAATGTAATCATGATTACAATGTGTTAGTTTGGTATGTGATAGGATGAATACATGTTATATCATGAAGATATGAAAAGAATTATGAAATGGCCATTTTACCCCCGGTTACGGGGAGGGGGGGGAACCTCCCCCATCCTCCCTCTTCCCTGATGCTTCCTTAAGAAGCCTTCACTGTATTATGTTTCAGATTCAAATGTCTAACATCTATCTGCTGCATGCGTTTTTGGCGATTTTGATGAGCACAGGGTCTGCTCAGTTTTGTTGGAGTTTAGACCATTTTCAGTAGTCAATTTAGAAGTTTCAACAGCACAAAGGAAAAACAAAAATCTTTGACAGTCTGCTATTTTTCTATTTTTGCTCACTTGTAGTGGCTGGAACACAATGCCTACTTCCAAAACAGAATTTCCTTTCTCTTCATCAATAGTCTATCTGGCAACTCTTGGGTTCACTGTGTGACTTTATCAGAAAGATCTCCCTTGTAAATTTGCTGCGGGGTTGGAGAGCTGTTCTGGAGCATTATTTTTCTTTAATTTTTTATTTTGTCTCTTCTTGTATGTTCTTCGAGAACGGATTTCTTTTCTCCATTTTTCTTTTCCTATCTCTCTAACTTTTTTATATTGATTAAGAACTCTGTAACTGGAATTTTGTGATTTACTATATTCATTATTTTTAGGAACTTAATCAACTTTGTGATATTATTGTGGAGCCTCTTAGGGATCGCATTGTGACAAGTCTTCTTCAAGCATCTTTGGTTGGTACCTCATTCCTGCTTGCTGCTTCAGACATATTTCTTTCGTCGTCTTTTTAACATTTTCCTCTTTCCAGGATGGCTTACTCCGAGTGATCCTAGATGGGGGTCCCTCGAGAGTTTTCTCCCCAGCTGATGCGAAATTATTAGAGGAAGATCTGGAGGTTCTAAAGGTATTATTGTAATCTAGACAAGCCAATGCTGCCAATAGTATGCAGTAATTTTATTGTGCAACAGGCCAATCTGAATTTTAAGAAACGAATACTTTAACTTTTGTTTAAAGATCATGAGCGTGAAGGTTATCTTTCCAATTTGGAAAAGGATTTCCTAGTTTCGGAATTTTAGAAGAATGAAAAAACATACGCCATTGTGCAAGATGTGTAAAGTTTACCAATCAAGGCGCTGCATAACTATACCTAGTCAAATATTCTCCATGAAGGAGCTCCATTGTTTATATCTGTTTAGTGTAAAAATTACAATAAAAAGGTGAATTCCCTAAACATTAACACATCTTTTTTTCTGCTTCCTTTTGCTCGTCAAATGCTCTGAAAATTCCTGTAATCAAAGAAGTTTTCCTTTTGTTTGGAAGACTTGATTCTCGCTGGACTTTGCTACGTCGGAGCACAAAAAATGCAGGGACCTGGGACTTTTGAGATCTATGATTTTTAATTAATTTGTGATGCATTTTGTAGGAATTCTTTATATCTGGAGGAGATGGGCTTCCTCGAGGTATTGTTGAAAATCAGGTAGCACGCGTTCGGGATGTGATAAAGTTACATGGTTACGAGGTTGGTTCAGATGCTTCTGTCTGCTTAAATACTTTGATAAGCAATATTTGTGCAATATAGAAGGCATTGGATTGACTTAATTTCAAATAGTGTACGTTCAAACTATTTAAAATTAAGCGAGATGCTTAATGGCCATTTCACCCATCTTCATTATCTATTAGTTAACAAATTTAAACATGAGGATTTGAGGATAGTTTGGAAGACGAAATGCTTTTCAGAGGATCACAGTGAGATGATTAAAAACTTCTGGGAGATCAGAGTCAAAAAGAGATGTTCAGAAGGACTGATATGTCTATTTACTATGCGATATCCTATGTTGAAAATAGGGTGCCCATGTCAATCACTCTTTAAAATATATATTATTCTCTGTATTCTTTTGCAGACTCGAGAGTTGGTTGAGGACCTGAAATCTGCTAGTGGCATGGAAATGAGAGGTGGCAAAAGCAGACTAGGAACAGATTCCAAAACCCTAATTAGAATATTATGCCATAGGAGTGATTCTGAAGCTTCACAGTTTCTCAAGAAACAATTCAAGATTCCCAAGTCCTCTGCATAGTTGGGTACAAAAATGGGGGAAACAACAAAATTTTCAGAGTTGAAGCACCATTCTGTGAATATTCATTGTACTGGTTATTTGTGTATGTTTAAGGTTAGGTCATTTGGTGTATAATTCTTTTTTTTCCCCAAGCGGCCCAAACGTCACTTGTATCAAACTACTTTGTTTATCTCTATTTGTAAAGTTTTTCTTGTGAAATACTTAAGAAATTGTGATTATTATTCTTTCAACAATTTCTAGAACCTTTTTCTTTTACGTATAATTTAGAGTATTTTCAAGTCATTTTGTACTTGAGACTGATATATGTCAGACTAAGATGTCTCTAGAATCTTTATTTACTCATTTTGCCCTTATCCATAGAGATCCTTTGTGCACACAGAAGTTGAGATCATTTTTTTTCCATCACAACTTTTATTCTACAAACACTGTTAATTGTTTTGATTTTTTTGGGAGAATTATAATGAGGTGCCAACAAAAAAAATAATTACTAAAAAGTCTTAATAATAGTCTAAACAGTTTGTAACGAGAAGTTTCGGAGTATAAAATAATAGTTTTTGAGACTTATTTTGTATTTCTTTTTTTGAGGTTTTATTGTAATTCTCTATTTCTGGTGAAAATGTTTTGATGTTTCTCATTGTAATTCTCCTTTGTTTTTTTGTTTTTTTTGGATAGAACCTTTGTTTGATTTTTTTGGGTGAAAATGTTTTGATGTTTTCTACAACCAAATAAAACCATTGTATTGAAAACCGGACCGGATCGGCCGGTTCAGACTGGAAACCGGTGAACCAGTCAGGAAACCAGTCCGCTTAAGCTGTGAACCGGGTTATTGTGACTCGGTGTGACCCAGCTTGAACCGGGGTGACTCGGACTGAACCAGGGTGACCCATCGGTTCGGTGGATCAACCCGGTCTCCCCTTTTTAAAAAAAAAATATTTTGATGATTTTTTTTAAAAAACTGTTGATAATTAGGATTTAGTGATTGAGTATTATAAAGAGAAATATTTTATTATCATATATCCATTTTGATATTTTGTTGGGATGAATATTTAGTGATTTTAGTAGTATGATATTATAAGAAATTGTAAAAATGTAATTATTTTACTAGTAATTTAAGATATTAAATTGATATCTAATTCTTAGTGAACATTTAAATTTTTTTTTATTTTTGTATTTCTCACCGGTTTGACTCCGGTCTGACCCACTGACCCTTGACCTATTGCCTTAATCGGTTCAATTGCCGGTCTGGTTTTCAGTACCTTGAATAAAACACGTGATAATCCCTGACCAATTTTTCATGTATTGTTGAAGTCAACCAAAACCAATCCAATGGTTTTCCTTTTTTTGTGGGTATGTTAATGGGACCTTCACCCAAACAAGACAGAGTAATGGGCCTTTGTATTTTTCCCCCTGCGGAAGCCTTTACTCCGTGGGCCCACCAAAATGACAATGTAGAAAAATGAAAAAGCGACTGCATTTTTTCACCAACGGCTATGATTGTTCCTGGAGACTGGAGAGTGAATCAAAGGGCTATTACTGTTTTGTCTTTTAGTATGACAAGGAGACTGTCCCGTCATTGTCAGAAGCCATCTGTCATGCTTCACTTCGCACTTCTCAATTCTCATGCACCCTTCTTCTTCTCTGGCCTGTTTGGATAGAAACCAAACTATGATTTCAGAAGTGCTTTTATAGTTTATGAAGTAAATATGTAAAGGAATTTGTCTCGTTTTACAGAAAAATACTTTTAAAACCCTGGTTTGGAAGTTGTCAAACACCCCCTAAAAGGTTCGAACTTCTGTTTCTCAAGCATAAAATTAGCTGTCCTTCTCACATGTGTTATAGATTCTACTTAAAACAGAGTTGCACGCAAGAAAGGTAAATGGCACTTAACGCTAACGGGATTGTCTTTTATCTAAGTTCAAAGCAGTTTTTTTTTAGAAATTAATGTTTTTAATCTCTAAAATTTGAAATCTCTTAATTATAATGACTTAGTGTAATAAAAATTAAAAAAAAATAAGTTCATGCTTAACTCTTTAATATTAATTACTCCTTCAGTCCTTAATATAATATCTATTTAATTAATTTGATTAGATTAAAAAAATTAGGAAAGTTAGTTAATTATAAAAAAAGTAAAACATTTTTCCTAAAACACTATAATCATCTTTTTTAATATCCCTTCTCCTTTTTCTATTTGATTATGGTTGAGGGAATATCCATATGGGTAATTTAGAAAAAATTGATAAATATAAAAAATAAGTCTTATATTTAGAATCAAAACTAATTCAAAAATTAGATCCTATATTAAGGATAGAAGGAGTATTAGATTTCTTCTCTCAAGTCTCAACATATAGTATTAATTTTAGACTATTTATTAAAAAATTAAATCAGCTGATCGCAGAAATGAGAATGTGACGTGCTGTGTGTGCCTACGCCCCTCATTTTCTCCCGTTTTTGCCAAATCTCATCGCACCAATTCCCCTTTCTGTTGGGGACTGACTCATCTCATCAATTTCACAGCAATGGCGTTTTTGATTTCACGGAAGGTCATCAACAATTTGTTGACATCTTCTCGATCATCTTCTCTTTGTTTACCATCACTCTCTTCCCCCACAATTTCAAAACCCTCCGCTTATTTCTATCTTCTTCATGTTTCATCTTCTTCAACCCCTTCACACCCCACTCGGAAACCCCAAATTCTTGACCCCAACTTCATAAGATTGGCTCCATTCTCCACTTTCAGGCCAAGCAAACCGACATTTTCACCGGCCAATGACGACCGTGAAACCCCATACTCCGGCCAAATCCCTAATTCGATCCACTCTTCATTACTGGAGAACGAGCTTCGAGACTCGCTCAGAAAATCGATAGAGAACATCAGGGGCTTGAAAAATGCATTGACAGTTCTGGGTTTGGTTCATACAGGCATAGGAGCCTGGATCGTTGGCTCCATTCCATTTTACCCAAGCTTTTTAACACAGGGCTTTCTGGCATCTGCAGTCCCACTCTTTCTGGCTAGCAGGATGAAACGAAGTTTGCAGATAATAGGCTATTTGAACATGAAAACAAATGATGGTTTGTTTCTAATTTCCAAAGTTGCTTGGTTGGCTACTTGGAGAGTGTTCGTGATGGCTGTCTCTTTGCTTCAGGTTCAAGTGGGTATCTGTTATTATATGCCCGAAGATCTTCTAATGATCCCAAGGATTAAGATTTCTACAATCACCATGACTTTACTTCCAGCATTATGTGGGTTTCAGCTGTATCGAATGACATCAGCGTGCTATAAGTTGTCAAGCTGGCATCTGGAAAGAAAAGTTGATGGTATGCTTCAAAGTTCGAATTTGATGGAGAGACGAGAGGTTTTGAAGGTCATGAATGTTTGCCTGCTTCGATGGAAAAATGCCTCCTATTTGGCTGCAGGTTTATCTTGTTCATGGTTACTTTATGTGTATTTGCATAGCTATGGAATTCTTACATTTTATGCCTTTGAATGAGAAGCTGTTATGTGAAAATAATCTTAGTTCTGGCAGTTCAGAATTCATTCTGGCAAGGGGAAAAAAAAGTTCAGAAGTTAGTTTAAGGATATAAATCAGGTTTTTTGCCTAACACCTCTGTTCTATAAATATAGGTGTAACTATATGAAATGAGAGCAAATGAGTTGACATAGTTGGTATATGCGTGGTTACTTATGGAGTCATGGCATTGGTATAATTATGTTACAAGTGAAATTGAATTGGCAAGCTCAAGCTCTCACTTATAAAGGAGCTTGCATGTTATTGAATCACAAGCTCATCTGCGGAATTGTTATACTTTAAATCTTTGAATGAATTGCAATATTTTTGGTATTAGAATGATTGGCTCTTGTGAGTTAAGAAATTAGTAAGGTATAGTTCAACTATTTGGCTCATACCTCTGTTGATCCTGAGAGGAGCTTGAATTAATTTCTGTTTTTTTTCATACATTTGTCAAGTAGTATTAATTATGAGACCAGAATAGTTAAACTCACTCACTCCTCTGTTCTATTCTGAATGATGGACCTTTTTAAAAGCCCCCCACCCTGTCTTCAGTATGAGGAAAATAAAAGGGGGGCAACGAAGAAAATTTTTATGAGTTTAATTTAAAAAATTAAAAAAGTATGGTTATAAAATGTTAATAAAAGGTGTAAAATAAAAAATAATAGAAATTAATTTAAAATTTTTAATTTGACCTTTTTAATTTTTCAAATCGACTTTTTTTAAAAAAAAATTTCTCCGTCCTTCTATTTTCCTTGAACCATGCGGAGTCCAAGGAGATTTTGGTGCTGATATGACTGATTTTAAAAGGAATAAATCCCAATAAACAAATTTTAAATTTGGTTGGAATCAAGACATAAAAGACGAAAGGAAAGGAATTAAGGCAATTGTGTTGCAGATTGACTCGTCAAAGCAGAGCTTCCTTCAAAGTATCCGACTGCCAGTTGAGCTTCCAGAAGGATTGTTGCACAGGGATATATCTGATTTCAATGTTTCCAGGGGAAAAAATCCTACAGTGTAATAAACCCTGGCTCATGTGAGGACTTTAAAAAAAATCCAACATGTAATTCTTATATAAAAACTACTTAATTAATTTAGACAGATTAATAAAAACAAATAAATAAGTTAATTGTAACAAATATGGTATGATTTTTTTAAAAAAATATTCATATAATATAGACAAATTGATTTATCGAAACAATGATAAATCTTAGAAACAAAACAGATTAATGTGTTAAATCTGTGTGTGTGTGTGTTTTTTCACCAAATCAAATTTCCCATTTGCCTGTTTCTAAAATTGATATGAAAATATATAAATTCGTTTGTTTGTTCATAAGAATGATAAATTAATTCTGATACACTATTTATTTGAGTTCATTTCAGAATAAAATTTTTAAAACGAATTAATGGTTACATATATTACCTTCCGTTTTTAACACAAGAAGTATTTAACTAATTTAAATAGATTAAAAAAATTAGTTAGGTTAATTATTTATAATAAATAGGTGTTGTCTTATCTAAAGTATTCTTGCTAATCACGTGTCATTTAATTAAACATTTAATATATACAGCTATTATAAGGACTACTTTAAAAATAAATAAATATGATAGACAAGATGAATTTAAATCTTATATTTAAAATGAAAATAAAAATTAAACAAACTCTTATATTAAGTATTGGTGATAGTATAATAGATGGTAGTCTATTGCAATAATAGATGCCCCAGTAACGTTGATGGTTTTTTTTTCCTTTAAATATGAATTAACCTATACTATTAAAATTTTGTTTAAATAATTTAGAATTATAGGTGGAATACAGAGGAAAAACCGAACTTTCTCGCAAAAAAAAAAAAAAAAAAACCCCAAAAGACTAGTTTTTTGAACAAGCATTAGATGCTGCCGCCACTTTACAAACGGCGACGGAGCGACTATTAGCATATTATCATCTCTCTTCGCGGCTGAGCTTCAATTCCGATGGCGTCTGGCGGTGGAAACGCAGGGGTAGAGTGGCACGTTAGGCCTCCTAACCCTAAGAACCCCGTCGTGTTCTTCGATATCACCATCGGTAACATCCCGGCTGGTAGAATCAAGATGGAGCTCTTCGCCGATATTGCCCCCAAAACTGCTGAGAATTTCAGGTTCGTTTCTTTCCAACCTGTGATCGCTTTTTTCTTATTTTCTAGCTTGTTTCCTTAGGAATTTGACGGAAAGAAAGTTGAGTAGTGGTTTATTTGTTGTGTTTGATCCGAGAACCGTTGCTGAGAGTAGGACTAGAGAGGTTCAGTGATGATTCGACGGGTTTTTGTTGTTTCTATAGCTAAAATAAGCAACACTGATAATAAAGGTAGTGAATGAGTCAAAATTTGGCAGCTGGATGCTGTAGTTAGTTCTATTGCTGCTTGGCTACGGACATGGTATTCGTTCCATAAAGTTTTGAATAGCCTTCCAGGGTGGAAGAAATAGAAATAAATTAAAATATGAAAATGATCACAAGTTCATACTGTAGGTCTGGACCAAAGGAATTTGACAACATACCGATGAGAAATTATTATGAGTTTTTAATGTCGATGTGATATCATATGTCTCACTTTAGAAGTTTGGACACGTAAATTTTAGCTGATGTTACATTCAAACAGATATGAGATAAATAATCTTGTGAAATACATTCATAAATGCAATACATGTTTTGTTAAAAATGATTACCTTTAGAAGTAAACTTGTATATTGCACATCAAAAGCTGGCTATTTGCCTATTTATGTCCTTCCAATTGATTGGTTTTGTTTTTTTCTATCTGGCAGGCAGTTCTGCACTGGCGAGTACAGGTAGTGAAATAATTCTTTTCAAGCTGGCAAAGTGTGGGTTGAAATCTACCGTGATACTCTTCTCTTAGTCTCATTCCTTTATATTTAACTTTGGGTTCAAAACACTATTAGTATTGACAGCCTGATGGTTTTCCATCATATGCTTCGATTTAGAAGTCTGGATACTATTTTCAATTGAGACCTAATTTGGCATTAACATCAATGTAGATAAAATCATTAGGACTTCTGAATGACTAAATAGTAGTCCTAGTTTAATTCTTGAGTGTTTTTCAATATCTTCAGTCTTCACTGGAAGTAAATTTCAAGTTTCTGAATGGCATATATTTGTTGGGTAAAGTTTGAAACTTGTAATATGATCTGAATTAATTGGCAGGAAAGCCGGTCTTCCTGTTGGTTATAAAGGCTGTCAATTTCATAGGGTGATTAAGGATTTTATGATACAAGCTGGTGACTTCGTGAAGGTACCTTCTCTCCTCTATTAACCTTAAACTTTCTTTTTTCAACGCACACTATATATAAGCATGGTTGTTTTTGTTCCTGTACGTAAGGACAAAAATATTTGATATTAAAACAAGCAAGGTATTCATATAATCGTCATGCATGGCTTGTTATCAGTCCCGTGTTTCATAACATTGTATCAAGCATAGTATCAGTCATCAAGATTGGAAAAGCTTCAAATTTTTTCTTATATATAATTACATGCGCCTACTATTGAACTTGGATTTAATCCAGATCCACATAATTATGTAAAAATCTTTAGCATGACATCTCTTTCTGTATAAAATTCAAATCAACACGAGAGTACTGTGTTTTAAATGGAGATATAACTATTAAATCTACAACTTGATTTCCATACAATGATGTTAGTCTTTGGATCTCATTAAACGTGGCATTTAGACATTCTGAGCAGTGCTCAATGTAGTTCAAAAAGTGTGAATCATATATTCTATTGGCTAGATAGCCCTAATTATCAGCAAATGCTATATAAGGATTCTCTATTGCCCTCAAAGTTATGAAAAGGCAAAAATGCTTGGGATTCCATTGTTTTTCACGTATTATAAACTGCTAAGTTTAATAGCCTTTGTTCCATCTTTTTGGTTGTTATATTGATCCTCTGAAATCGACTCTTAGACCAATTCCATCTTCCTTTGTGGATTTGTACTTATGTTATATATAACATCAATTACAAAAATTGAGTTGGATTCTGTCCATGGACACAAGTTTGATGATGAAAATTTTATTGCGCAGGGTGATGGGAGTGGATGTGTTTCCATCTATGGACACAAGTTTGATGATGAAAATTTTATTGCTAAACATACTGGCCCAGGCCTTCTATCAATGGTATGTATTTGTTGTATCAACTTTCATCTTCTGTCTTGAATGCGTCAAAATTATATTATTCTTTTGCTTAACCGGTAATGCACTAAATTTGTATGGCTAAATGGTTGCACTTTAATCGTCATCCTGCCCATGGACGGCATACTATCCTCGCGACTGGTTTATTCTTGTTAATTTTGCTCGTCCCTTGTAAAATTGGAAAACAATGATTTAGCTTTTCTGGGGTGCAGTTATCTGGTCTATATATTTTATCTCATCACAATATTAAAGTTCTTTGAAACACTTCCTATCCCCAGGGAAAATAATATGTGTACTCCTGAGACCGACATTAGTTTTTGCTTAGTTTACATTTGCCAAATTAAGAAGGCTTAAACCCTTTTGTGATTGCAGGCAAATAGTGGACAGAATACCAATGGTTGCCAGGTAACGTCTCAGTGGCCACACTTTTCCTCCGTTCTCATCTCCTTTTTATTGGCTGGGAATATTAAATTATGTTGGCTCTATCTGACTCAAGAATCCTCACTTCCTCTCTTCTTGCAGTTTTTTATAACATGTGCAAAATGTGACTGGCTGGACAACAAGCATGTCGTTTTTGGGGTATGCTCTAATATCTCATGCATTATATTTTTCTTCGACGAACCAGTATGGAGGGTTATTTCCGGACCCACATGAGCTTTGTTTTCTGTTTTGTGTCTGCATGGTTTCAAATTATGATGCTAGTAGAATCACTGGTCCTGTGAGCTAAAGTAGATATATTAAACCTGAGAGCCACACAAACAAAAGCATTCATCTAATTTCATTCTTGGCACAGAACAATTAAATATTGCTGGCTTGTGCTAAAATCTGTTGCACTACATACCGTACTGAGTTATAAAAATTTTCACTCAGTAACGAGGTTGGTTGAATTGTTTATAGATCAATTTTCATTTGACCTATGAACCTTCGTTTGGTTCCTAATAATGATTCTTTGCTGGTAGAGCCTGCCAATTCGGTGACTGTAGCTTTGGATTTGAAACAGTCTAACACTAGAAACTTAACCAATAGAGGAAATTTTCACTTGTGAATTCTTCATGTCTTTATATGCCTTTCAATAGCTAGCCTTGTTTGAATGTGGTGGGCACTTACCTGTAATGAAATTTACTTTCTATGCAGAGGGTGCTTGGAGACGGCCTTTTGGTTGTCAGGAAGATTGAAAATGTGGCCACTGGACCCAATAACCGGCCTAAATTAGCTTGCGTCATTGCTGAGTGTGGAGAAATGTAAATCTAAGCTTTTAACACTACTTTAATTAGCAAATATCTATTGAATCATTTGTAATAAAATTGTGAATTATGATACACGTGGACTGACAACTGGGGATTAGAATGTATACAGACTCTGGATGAAAACAACTATTTGCAGTTCTGTTTTTATCACCAAGTTCCTTTTAATCAAAATATGGTAAATGCATGAATCTATAATTATAACATAATAAGTATGTGTTTGATAAAAAGACAAAACAAACAAAAACAAGCATGAAGATGTAATGAAGCAATAGAACCAACATTTGTTATGAAAAAGCGATGCTATCAGTGGCCTTTAACTTAGTGGTGTGAAAGTTCTTTTTAAGTGGGAGGTCATGGGTGTAATAAATTTCTAACCATTAGTATCAGCTCCTCTAATTCAGAAAAAAAGGGGTTTAATCGCGTGTCCAAAGCATTTCTTTTATAAGAGGGAAGCAGACTCTGCCTATTATCTGCCATTAAATAGACAAATTACTCTGCTCCACCTGGTTTGTTGACGTGTTCAGTTCTTAGCGAAATTTGATTTTTTAGGAAGGGTTCGGATTGAACTGGATTTACGATTTACGATTTATTTTCTAATTTGATCAGATGATTTGGTTTAATCGGTCTTTTTAATTGTGATATTTAAATATCTGCCTCGAGATGTTTAGGTATTGCTAGTTAGTTCTTTATGGCATTTGCTGACATTATCCATTCAGTTTCATAATATTACTTTTTTTAATTAGTAATTTAATTTTAAATATAAGACCCTAATTCATTCTTTTTCATATTTATCTATTTTTCCCAACATAATCTTTGCAGCATACATAAATGTTTCATCACATAATAATTCTGACTAATATACATGTATTTTAAAAAAATGACACATTTGTTATAAATAACTAATTTAACTAATTTTTTTAATCTACTTAAATTAGTCAACTAATTTTATATTAAAAACCAGAGGTAATATTTTGAAACAACAAGCCATAATCGACGCCCGTGGCCAGTGCCACAACATTATGCACCTTTTCAAAAGAGGCAGATTACAAGTCATATACTCGTGGGGCATATACCTCTTCGTGGGTGTGCAGTGTGCGCGCGTAGAGTTGTGAGGGGTTGGGTGTGTGCATAATTGTCCATTTCAAGCTTTATTCGGGGCAAAAAGAAAAATAAATAAATACTTAGTAGCAATAATAGACTTGACCTTAGAGAAGCAGTGATTGACGGAAAAGAGGTCAGAGAATGCTGCACTGTATTTTATACTGCCTCGCGTCACATATGCCCAAACTCATTTGTTAGCTATTTGGGGTTTACCTTTTTCCAACAAAGCATTCCCTCGATCACAAAAACACACCACCTTCAGGACAACAGTTGCGGGGCCAAAAATTCAACTTGGTGATAACACCAAGAATGATACGCTGATACAACTTACAGAGAATGAACAGATTTTCAGTCAAGTTACAATTACAGTGGACAATATTATTAGTGATAAATATCCAGACATACTGTCTGCTTCTCACCAATTCTACAGAGTGTGGCTAAATGAAGCACTACAATCAGTATTACAGAAAGACTACAACACAAGAAAACCTGTAAAGGTAGTACCTATGACGGTCAAGCATTGCTGGTGCCAGGTCCATGAAAGCCAAATTATTATAGCAGGTAATCTTCTACCCTTCAATCTCTTGGGCGAGCCAGCCAGAGGGAACTAAGAGCACGAAGTCGAGAGAAGTAGTCATGTATAGCCAGAAGGGCCCGAGCCGACTGGCGAGTTGTCAATATACGGTGCATTTGTTGTAGTGTTTGCTGCCTCAAATTGTCAGCCTGATGGACACCACAGAAATGTAGCCCAGAGTGAGAAAAATAGAACTTAACTATCAAATAGCATGCCAATGATCTCTAAAACTGAAAAAATGCAAATAAAAAGTTGATGCTAAATTGCCAGAAGTGCAAAACAAAAGCTGCCAAGACTAGAGAGTAACACTAGGGAGCCAAATTTGACCACTTCCTCCCCTAGCTCACCTACAATCTTATTTCAAAACAAGTTCAAGTGGATTTTTACCCTCAAACTATTTTTGAAGGAGCTATGAGTACCCTAAAGAAAATTTGGAACAATGAAATAAAGTTTTTAAAACCAATGCAATGTTTTTCCTTTTTAACAGTCAAACATTAAGTCAACGTTAGTGCAGGTCGGGAGACTTTTCTGGACCCAATATTGATTACTAAAGAGAGGGACGCATTGCACAGGTTTTGAAAGATTATGGGCTACATTGCTCCACAATTTCTTTGAACTGCTCTATCTCCTCCAACACTTTCGGGGCAAAAAATGCACTTTAACCCTCGAAAGAAAAAATACCATTTCTATTTTACCAGTACACTTAAATTTTCACCAGTTTTGAAATCCATTAGGAAGCCAATATTGGAATAAAACATTCCCAAACCATATGAGAAAACTTTACCTATCACAGGCTAGCAAGAAATAATGTACCTGTCGAATAAAACCCTCAAGTGTGCCAAGCTTACCCATGGCCATAGCCATTTGGCCCATGTAATTTGCCACATTCCCAGATGAACCAGAAGATCCGAGAGACCCACTAGATAATGTCTCAGCCAGGGATTGTTGCAAAGCTTCCATACCCTGAGATAATGCATCTTCTGCTTGTTGAGAGGATTGCTGCAGGTTGGTAATGCCAACCAGCTGCTGCTCCGTGAGAGGTTCCAATTGAGTTATCAGAAGCTGCAACAGAAGTCATGGCACCCAAGACAGATCTCAAAAGAATATTCTCGGTCAAAACTCAATTATACCAATTGTGGTATGCATGATAAAAAAGACATAATATTTGTAGTTCTGTCAGATGCTTTATTTTCAAACAGCCGGTTTCTTTCTAACCCTTAATTTAATCGAATCCAAACTGAAAAGAATTCAAGCAAAATATTCCAAACATAATCAGGATTCATGAATGCAGTATGAATTTATTGACATGGTAGTTAATTAAGCTATGTATGTGATGCATAAAGCGTATATTCAGTAGATTCGCAAATTGGCATTTCAGTATACTATATCAATACTCTTGGATTACTATAAATTTTGCCCACCCATATCAAATTTCCTGCAGGAAAGGGGAGGAAGGTAGTAATGTTGCAATCTAACACATGCCGCACCATCTCAGTCAGATCTGAGTCGGCCCGAAGGAGAAAGAGAATACCCTCATAAAAGCAGATTTTCATAAAATTCTATAAGATGCACATCAGTTCGAACAAAGCTAGAAATTGCAATTATATTTCTGGAAATGACCAGGTGACATGGTAAATTCAGCGCAAGTGGAATTTGAGCTTCTGCTTATCAACCTTACCCCTATTTCAATCCCCAAAGGTTATGGAAAACAAGTTAAACCTAAAAGGTTCCGTTTTTTTTGGGGGGGGGGGGGGTGGGAGTCCCTTAGAATGAGATGGACTTTCCACATCAGGAATTTGTGACAACATATGAAAGCAAATAGAGAATCTGAAGAAACCAACACCAGCCATTGAAGTCCTATGTAAAATATCATATCATTGACCAGAAATGAGGTAGCAATCAAATTTAGATGCCACAAGGCAACCCAGAATGCTTCAATAATTACTTCCTTTTTAGAAAACTCCAAGACTGAGTAAGATGCACCTGTCTTACAATAGTTGAAACTGCAAAGAACCTATTAATGTGTCTTACTCTTTCTTTAACTAAGTGAACCATGAGGACTATAAAGAAGAGGTCAGAATAAGCCCACCTTGAGGAGCTCAGACGATCGAAAGCCACCAAGCCATAAAAAACATCTCTCTGCAGGTGTTTTCCACATGCCGGACAACAAATGGAAAACGTCAGCCTTAGCTGCAATACCTTTCAGCCTAAAAATCTCATCATAGTGGGCCAATATGTTATCAACAATCATGCGAAGTTCTGTATCACCAGCATGAGAATTTACAGCTGCTCTTAGCTCATTAATTTGGCGATTCTGCTCTTCTAACCACCTTGCATATTCTACATCAAATGCCATGGCTCCTGTAAGACAATATGATGAAAATTATTGATCAGCTTGTGCATTATGTTACTATTTTTTCCAAATATTTCACTAATCAAAATTATGGAAGGAACAACACATCACAGAAGGGATACCATTTCCACTCATTGCATTTGTTTGATCGCTTGAGCTTGATATAAAGATTCCCTACCAGAAAGGAACAAGAGATTTTGGTTAATATTAAACATGAATGGCCAAGAACCATGTCAAACAAAAAATAAGTAGGGGTACTCATGAGCTTAAGACTGCTGAGACATTCTACGTGCATAAAATAATAAAAATTATTTGTGGACATAAAAGAATAAATATATCTCACCTGCTGCCTAGCTCGTTGAAGCTCTTGCTCTAGTTGGGTCAACTTCAAACGACTGCTTTCCAGTTGTTGGACATAGGCCTATGAGGAAAAGCAAAAAGAGGCATTTCACAGATGAGTTTATGCCATAAAGCCTACATCATAAGGGAATCACTTGATTCTACTATCATCGTCACTGCAAAACCCAGGTATATGATTACATGAGGCTGAACATCTTAATCTAACACACACGATATAATCTCAGGAGTAGGTGAACATTATACAGGAAAGATCCAAGCATCCAGCTTACTTCCAATATCATATCACTGGATATGAGAAAAATAGAAGAGGACAAGGATAATATGCTTGTGCCTATAAAAGAAGGGACTCTTCTCAAAATTAAAGAATGCTTAAGATTTTAAATTCCGTTAAAAAAGAAACACAAATAAGCATGACTATGATGAATATGTAACCCCAAAATACTCGCACAAAGTTCTACCCTTCTTCAGCCGTCGCAATGAAAACCAAAGCGTCCAAAATTGGAAAACGAGACTCACTGGTGAGTCTTATATGTCTCTCTGCACTCACAGGTAAACTCCTTAAATATGTAGATCCAGGTCGATCATCAAGATAGGTAGAACCACGTAGAAGTTATGGCACGTTCAAGAATAAAAACTACACAGATATTTCATAGGTCAAGAAAATTCTGTCCTTTTCGCTCATGATGATTTGATTGCAATATTCATAGAGAGTCACACACATACATTAAAAAATAAAAGATATTGATAAATTTTATGTAAGAAAACGGTATAGCAAATGTGTTTCATACTTTCTTTCTCAATCGGCTTTTTCTTGCTGCCTCACGATTCTGAGCAAGCCTGCGGAGAGTCTGCAATAATTAAATGAAACAAGCATCACATGAAAGATACAATAAAAAATTTTAGATATTACTCATAAAATATGATTTAGATATACAACCTTCTGATCTGATTTATCCTTTGATCTGTCACTAGAATCAGAAGCCACAGCAACAAGGGATTGATTTCTATCATACTGCAAAAGCATGCATACACCCGTCAGATTGTCAAGAGAAATCCAATTTCAGTTTTCAACTCTGGTTCCATAAAAAAACATGGCAATTGACAAATGCTTCCACACATGCACTATGTTCAAATACTGTTTTAATGTAGATTAATTATTCTTGACAATAGGCTCAACATGAACAGGTGCTCAACTGTGGAAATGTGGAGCATCAATGAGATTTATCAATAAAAAGAGAGGTAATCAAACATTACCTGCTGATTTTTATCATCAGTATCAACATCCGTAGAAATATCAGTCCTAGGACTGGCATCAGCCATGGCCAACTCTCACTGGTTTTCTGTATTACCTGTTGGTATTTACCAGATCAGATTATTGGACCTTTTGTAATTGCAAACTCAGTGACTCTGCTTACTTGGAGTCTGTCTTTATCAGTGTAAGTTTGAAACTGCATTAAAAAAAAATTATATGAATAGCCTGCTAAAAAATACCCATATTCATATTCTAACAAGTTGAAAGTTTGTTGGATGATAATTAGGAAACTCACCTTATCAACAGTACCTGTGTGAACAGGACCTGAAGAAGTTGTATGGGTAATTACTTTTAATGAATTTAAAGCTGACTCTGAATCATATAACAGAAAAATCATCAGAGAAGAAAACTAGGGAAGGGTGGAAAAGAAAAATAACCTCCTAATAAGAATATAGAAAATACATTAATCAGCTTATATTAATAGATATATGAATCTTCCCCCAAAAGTAACAGTGTGCGCATATGCCCATGTGTGAGTTAGTGTGAATTTAACAAATTCTTTTTTCTTATCCCCAATGCTGCATCACTACAGCGTTTATGATGAAATGATGCTTCAAGATCCTTTCAACAAACAAAGTGATCCATCTAAAGATGATCTGATGCTTGAAAATTGACATCAAAGGAGATAATAGTACAATGCAATGCCCATATACGATTGTTCCATGTGAAGTTATCTAAATTAAATACAAGATGCGCTTACTTTCACTCAGGTCAGAAGCATCCTCTAAGCGACATCCAACTGATTGATCTAATGCTCCAAAGTCAGACACACACAACGAATCAATGGCGCTTCCCTTGGTATATCTGAAATGCAAAAAGCAGATCTTCAGATTTAGGGCAACAAAAATAATAAATGTGCTCCTTGTCAGACAGCATGTAAAACATAGGTAATCTAAAATTTAGATGAATGCAAAAATAAAACCAAAATTCAGCATCAGCTTTCCCAGCACAAACTTCTTATCCATCTCAAACCAGAAATTACAGATTCACCATTGCCTTGCACACACATCATTATTCTAGCATAACTCTCATGCACTTAATCAAATAATCTGTAAGTGCATCCACCCATAAATGCCATGTTGGAAGTACATAGCACAAAATATGCTATTGCTAATGAAATTTTAGAAATACCATTAAACGATTTTCTGAATTCATATTACATAGCTTATTTAGTAGTATCCAATTCATTTCTACACTGACATTCAAAATTTTGGCTAGATGGTGAGAGCAATTTAATACCATCAATCAAGAAACTTTTTTTTTTTGGCCGAAATCAAGAAACATATTTGAAACTGGCACTCCTCAGTTGAACCAAGAAAGGAAAGAAAAAGTATGTGCTTATACTAGCTGTAGCATGTATATCACACCAACGCAAATTACCTTGTTAGATTTAGAATCTTTTGACAAAGATATGTACCCAATTTTAATTAAATTAAAATAATTAAAATAACATATGCTGTAATTTAGACAACCAAATAACAATAAACGTCCCATAAATTATTCAAGTTCTGGTTCAAAAAACAATAATTTATAATAAAAATTAATTAATAACAAAAAGTCAGATCATTAACTTCAAGAGCAACTTCATCGAACTATTTATTATCCCAAAGCAACAATGAATGTCAGCCATCACAATCTCAAAAAAGAGGATAAGAAGGGTGGGGGAAAAGACTCTTCTATTAATGCAGTTAACAACATTGAATAATTCAATAAATAACTAAATATGAAACCGAGAAGATACTCACCGAAAAATGATGGAAACCAGAAATATTCCGCGCATTGGATATGGATAACTGAGAATTGAAGCTCGGCATTCTTCTCACGACCTGCTTCTCATCTTCAAAACCGACCCCCGTTACACAGCCCATCCATCATCACCAACGTATTCTTAACTCGCCTGCTGCCTAATCAATGAGGAAACAAAACCCCTAGCTCAAATCAATTCACAAAATCGATCACAATAGTTGCTTTAGTAGAGCTAAAATAAAAGACAGCAAACATTACATTACAAGTTCAGCAATAAAAGAAAGCAAAATAGCTTCATATGCAAGCACAGTATAATACCGCTCTTGTACAATGCATAAATTGCTAAAGCAGAAAGAGACCAATCTTCAGATGCTTATTCCCGCACGGATGTTCGGCAAATTTGACGTCGACAAGATTTCAGAAAATGTAAAGCGCGAATTGAGATCAAATCAGAGAAAACGCTAAGTCCCAGAGATGAAAACTGATACGAAACCCTTATTGCAAAGCAGCTCTTGTGAATAAAATACACTAGATTATGCAGCGAAATCGCAAAAGCCACATCCAAGTGAACCCAGCAGCCAAACGAGTTAAAAAAGGAAACTTCACAAGTCAAAATCACTTTGACATAAATAGACTACGCTGACACTAACCTAATTACATGGAGACGCCCAAAACAGGTAAAGGAACCAAATCCAAGCTAGAGAAGATCAAAATCACCATGAACGTGATGATTATACAAATAGCAGAGCAGAAAATGAACCCAACCCACCTTGGAATTCTGATGCAAAAGATGATGGCAATGATGACGATTATGTTTTTTTTCTTTTTTGTTGATTTGTTGATTAGAAGAATTAAAGCGAAGGAAAAGGGGGGGAGAGAGAGGGAGAGACTTCCTTAGAGATCATTCCAATCTCTAGACACCTTCTTCAGCAGAAATCTTCCACTTTCCGAGGACTAATCTTTTTTTAATTCCGTTTTTTTAATGCTTAGTGCTTTTCTGCATTGACACGATTTGTATTTTTCTGTGTTGTTTGCTTGGTTTTCTTAATTAATTAATTTCTGAGAAAAACTACTTTACACTTTGCCATGTAAGGCCTACGGTTTTGATTTAACGGCATCTGCATCCCCATTCATGACTTCATTTGATGCAACTTAATTTTTATAATTTTAATCATTTAAAGATTTTAGTTTCAAATTATGAAAATTGAGCTACATTGAATTAAAATTTAGGAATCAACTTATAACTAAATCAAAATTATAAAGATTCATTTGTAATTAAAATTTAAAGGTTGAGTTACAATTATTTTTATTTTTCTTTAGTTTCTTAAAGCAAAAATAAAATGTCGTCATTTTCTTTATTTTGCAGGAAAATTCCGTGAATTTCTGTTTGTCAGAGTTGGACTGACATTGCAACAACGAGACCAATAGAATTCTAGCTAAAATTCAGTTTCGTCAAAAACAAAATTTCAAATATTTTCCTTTTTATATCCACTAGATATAAAGAAATTAAATAAAAAATTGAAAACGAAATGAAAATATTATATTGAACTTATATAAATAATAATACTAAAAATGTGGTAAATTCATAAAAAAATATTTTATTGTTAAAAAAACTTGATGCAAATAATTTTTCATTTCAATTTTTTATTTTATAAATACATAAATGTACTATGCAAACAATTTTGGCTACAATATCACGTAAAGTTTATTATTTGAATTCTCACACACTCAAATAAAAAATTTTATATAAATAAATATCATATATTGCGTGCTAATTATTTAAGAAAATCCGGTCATCATTACTAATCATTTCCTCTTTTGAACGAAAGACAATTTTTGTTATTATACCTACACACACTGAAATAAGAAAAAGAAATCCAATACGATGTTCCAGAAATATATATATATATATATATATCATATTATTACATTTTGATTTAAAATTACAAAACATGAACGGTAGAGAAATGAAGAGGTAGAGGACAAAAGTTTCCGTGGGATTAAGATGAGCCGTTGGAAATTATGCCGCCGTGCCCTGCTTGTCCAAGACGTGTTAGAGTTTAATGATTGGATTGAGACATTTCCCCTTTCCTGTTATGTTATTGTTTTCCCCTTATCCCCTTAATCATTTTTCCCATTTTAAAAGTACTACTTCTTATCTTTAATATGGAAAAAAATACCTGGAGATTTAATTTGATTTAAAATATGAGATTTTAATCTATTTTGTTTTCACTATTTATTGATTTTGTCTCTAAATAATCCATACGGTAATTACATGTGTTAAGGAGTTTCTAACAAATGGTAATTCCAATAGATATGATTAATAAGCGTATTTTAAAGAACACAATATCAATTTATTACAAATAACTAATTTAACTAATTTATTTAACTTTTATATTAACATATGCAATCATGGGAACTACTTTGAGAAAAAATAAATAAATATGATAGACAAAGTATATTAAAGTCTTATACTAACTCTAGTTCTAAATATAAGAGCTAGTTAGAAGTCCTAATTATAAGATCTTAATCCACTTTGTCTTTAAAATTTATAATATGTTCTCAAAAATATCCCTAGTGATTATAACGTAATTCCACCAAAATGTAATTCCAATGTACATAATTAAATAAAGATAATTTAGAAAACTCAACACATGTTTATTATAAATAAATTACTTAACTTTTTTTTCTAATTTTCTCAAATTAATTATCTAACTCTTATATTAAAAATCGAAGATAATATTTGGGATGAAGTCAAATCTCCAACTAGCTTTTAGTATTTATCACCGTAGCTATTGTGATTTTCATTCATGGCTTCAATGGAGTTGGTTCCTCGTGCATTGATTGGTTTTCTTCAACTTCATGGGTGAAAGTTGAGAGATTTCGTTTTTGTCACCTTCGTTCAAATCATTATTTGGTTGGTGCTCTTCTCAACTTTCTCATTGAGACTTGGCATGGTAGTAGGTGGATGCACTTTTCCTCCTGAATTTGCAATCTGCAGCACGTCAATCTGTTTTGTGCAGTTTACAGATTATGATTATGCGCTTATTGTATTAACTTTTTATGTTTTACTAATTTTAACAGTTAGTTGAGAGTTGAATTTGATTTTAAATGTAAAATATTAGTTCATTTCATCTTTTAAATTTATAATTTTTTTTCCACAAAGTAATCTTTATTTGATTCTACTTATTAAGGAGTTTTTTAAGGAGAAAATTTCATTCTAATGCACATAATTAAAAATAATAATTCAGGAAACCAATATGTATTTGTTACAAATAACTAATTTAATTAATTTTTTTAATATTCACAAATTAGTTATTTGATTAATTCTTATACCAAAGACGGTATACATATATATCTACATATATATATATATATATATGCTCTTTCATTTCTAAATGTAAAAGCATTTTGTAATGAAAATTACATTACAAAATAATTCTACATTTAAGATGTGATGAGCATTTTGCTTTTCACAAGAAAATTATAAATCTATAGAAAGTTACCTAAAAGATCAAGAAAAACTGAAACAACCAATGAAAAATACAATTAAAAAAAAAAAGAGTAGATTTACAAAATCAAATCTCAACCAAATCAAACTTCATGTGCTGTTGGTTGAATGGCTCAAACAAGGATCTTGAATACTGAAATCCATTACAGTAATCTTCAGATAACAGATCCAACCAAGAAGAAGGAGCTTCACGGTTGGGCAAATGTAAATCCTCTTCAACTTCATGCTGATGATCTTCATGTCCCTTCCAACACTGTTCATCGCCATTATTACTTGAAGCTCCAGCCATGGAGGCATCATTCTCATAATCATCATCATGACCATGATCTGCAGAATCCTGCAGAAACTTCTCTTCAACATTGGAATCTTGCCCGGTAAGCTCCTGCACAAGAGCTCTGAAGTTAGAAGCACTTGTCTTCACCTTCATGGGACTCGATATGTAAGTCACCTTGATGTCTTTCTTCTTCTTCTTCACCATCTTCTTCAAGACGTCGTCGTTTCTCTTCTGGTTTCTCCACTTCATCATCGCTGCTGGGTTCTTATTAACCCCAAGCATCTCCATCAGTCTACACAGCGTATCAGAGGATCAAAACCAGTGTTTTCCCAGGAAAAGTTTCGATTTTGATGGTTGATAACGGATTTGATGGATAAAGGGAAAAGAACCCAACTTGCCAAAGAACTTATATAGATGATACTGAAAGCGACAAGGGGTTATTAGTCAAAAGGTGATTTTCCAGGAAAGTGAACAAGAAAGGAAAATCGAAAAGGTGACGGCGGGAAGGGAAGGTGACGAGAAGGTCGTAAAAGACGCCATGTATCTAGAGGGAGAGATTGAGATTCTAAAGTTTGCAGATATTTTTGTTGTGGAGAAAGAGCGATCGATGGTGAGATTGAAGATTTGTGGACGTGGCTTAAGTTCAATGAATGAACTCTCAAATTATTATAGGTCACGTGCTCGCAGGCGCAGCCGTGGACGACTAGAACCCTTCGTATTTGGAACTTAAAATTCTATGATGTCTTGGATTGGAAAATAGGAAGAGAAAGAGACTATAATTATGGTGTCATCAAGTCTCTTATTGGCGCTTGGCATTCCAACTTAGCTGCTAAAGTATTCAACTCCATTAACACAGACACAAACGCACAAGGTGGACAATGTTTCCCCACTGTCCCTTTTTCTCTTTTTACCTCCCACCCCAGTGGATCAAATTCCTAACTGATCTGATTAAGAGTTTCTTTCTTTGACCAGATGATTGAGAGTTTTGAATATGGATTTTGTTTTATTCCATTGCTAAACTTAAAATCTTAAATTATGTTGTTTTGAGTTGAAGAAAATAGCAACATATCAGTTTTGCGTCTTAATAACTCTATTTTATTAGATATGTTAGTTATGCATGAATGCTTTATTTATTTGTGAATCAATGACTTATTTATCCAAATATTACTCTTTTCAATTGTAGAAGCGACTAATTTGGCGATTACTACTGGTTTTTTTTTTTTTTTGTGGCTTGACTAGAAGAATAATACCAGCATTTAATCATATATTTGTGTTGTGTACTAAGTTTTGAAAATTTGACTACAATAATACGTTTCTTTAGGCCTAAGAATACAGTAAATATATAATCAAGTGGTTAACGGGACCCTTGTTATTCATATAGTACTTCTCGTACTTAATATAAGAGTTTGTTTGACTTTATTTTGATCCTCAATATAAAACCCTAATACATTTTATCTCTCATATTTATTTTTTTAAGATAGTTTTTATAATAATGGTAGTTCTAGTCAATACATTTGATCGATAATGATATTTTAGAAAATACAGTATATATTTATTGTAAATAACTAACTTAATTAGTTTTATTAATCTATTCAAATTAGTCAGCTAACTCGTATACTCAGGATCAAAGCTAATATTAGTTGTAAAATTAGAACCTTAATATATTGTTAGATTTTGTGGGAATTATTTTATAATTAAAATGTTAGTCAAACAGGGAAGGAAGACTTGATTGATATACAAGCGTTAATTAATTTCTTTTATATAACATTAAAAAAGTATTAAATGTTCTTCCAAAAAACTTTAAAAATAAAAAGCCATTTGTGCAGTTATTCTTTACTTCAGTATATTCATTTACAGTATTTTTCAAAGGTCACTTTTTGACAATTGATTTGAATTATTTTCTTAAAGTTATTTTTAAACAACTTTTAATTGATTTCTAATGATAAAAACTCATCTAAATTACTTCCTATCAAATTTTAATTTGTTAACCTGATTTTTTTTAAATATAATATAATTATATAATAACTAATTTTTATCCGACTAAGTTAATTACATTTATGCCCCGTTCCTTATAGAGGAATTGGAGCTTGGGAAGGGAAATTGGTGCTGGAATTGAAAAATGTGTTAAGGTGTATTCAGCACTCCGAAGTATTTTTTAGGTGCAACCAATACCCTAAAGTATTTTGTAGTGCATCCAGTACCCTAAACTATTTTTTAGAGTCCCCTAACACTCTAAAATATTTTTTTGTCTGGGTGCTAGACGCACCTAAAAAAATAATTTGAGATGCTAGATGTACCAAAAAAATACTTTATGGTACTAGATACATATAAAAAAATATTTCAAGATACTAGATACATCACAAAATATTTTAAAGTGTTAGATGTACTTAAAAAATATTTCAGGATACTGGATGCATTAATCCTTAAAAAATGATGTGTTTTGGCGTGACAGAAATCGGTTCCATGTGGAACCTAATTCCATCAAAAGTGATGGAACCGGGTTCCTCGTCTAAACTGGGTCAATTCCATGGAACCACGTTTTTTGTGACCATTATACCCACTACATTTTAACCTAGTGACAATTATACCCCCCATCCTTGTTTCTCTCTGATGCTGTCACCCCTTCTCCTTCATGCCCCTCTCCTCTCCTTCCTTAGCCTTCGTTGCCACCGCCAACAACAAAGCTACATCGCCATCCAAGCCACCATCTCCTCCTCCTTCATCCTTTCTCACATCGCAATTTGATGTTCGATTTGCAGGTAACATTTGTAGATCTAAAAAAAAAAGGTGCCTCATGGTAGTTCACGGTGATTTCGACAGAGGAGATCGCGATTTCTGCTTGTTCTTCACTCTTGATCTGGTTTTCAAAGAGCTTCTTTGATCTGCTTGTTCTCCCTCTTCGATTTGCTCTTTCTCTTTCTGCGATTTCAGCTTTTGCATATTTGATCTCTAGTGAGTGTGGTTGAGTGACGGCCAGTGAACGAGCGATGGTGTCCCATTCTCTTTCTATGACAGTGGGCAAATCTTTAACGGCAAAATTCAACAGGAATAAAGCTCCATCTCCGACAATGAAAGGGATGCAAGTGAAAATGGGATTACCTTTTTTCCCTGATTTTTCTTAAGATATTTTTACGGTGTACAAAATAAATACATAAAGAATTTATTTCCTTTTTATAGAAAAATGTTTCCAAATACCTCCTAATAACTTGTCTTTTGTTTTTTTTCCCCTGGAATGCTTCTTTTCAATTTGATTGTTGGAAGGGCGTTTGAGCAAATTAATATTTTATTTACATATATAAATTAAAAATTAAAAATAATACATCACTTCTATGGTATACCAAACACATTTTAAGGGCCTGTTTGGCAAATAGACAAATTATGGTTTTGAAACCCAAGCCAAATGGCCAAATCAAATCATGGTTTTAGAACCCAAATCATGGTTTGAGTCAAAAATTTGCTAAACGGGAAAAAGGAAAAATTAGTAAACTACAGTTTTGGATCAAAATCATGGTTTCAGAAAAAGTGAATTCATTCTGTTTCTGTCTTAAATTGGAGAGTATAATTGTTCCTAAAAGAGTAAATCCTAATGGTAGTATGACTTTAACACTCCTCAATTATTTTTCTATAAACATATTTAATCTTATAATTTATAAATATATATACACACATATTAATTATTATTAATTATATTATCATATATATTATTAATTATATTAGTAAAAAGTATATTATTAATAATTTTATTCCTTCAAATTGAAATACATCATAAAATCTACTTTTTATATAATTACCATATTAGTTTATGTATTTTTTTAGTAATTTGTACATATAAAAAGTGTTCCTGATAACAACTATCCAAACACTCTCACTATATCAAAATCACTTTTTTGGCAAAATCTATTCTCTCAAAAATATATTCTTTATAAGTTATTCTCTAAATCATGGTTTGATTCATCCAAACTCCTCCTATACCCTACCTCCAGTTCTATTTCCACTGTCACTTCTACTAAAAACTCTGATCATACCAAACCGCGCATTAGATTGTCCCCTGGGGTGAACCCAAAGCCCAAAACATGGGCAGAGAGAACTCTAATAGATCTAGATTCTAGAGTGTTGGAAAGTCAATGAAAATTATATAAAAATTGATGGCATCAACTTTCTCAAAATATTAACAATGATTTATCAACAAAATTGAGTCTAACCAAAAAAAAAAGTCTCTTGTAACATGATAAATTAAAATTTGAATACCATTGAAAGAGGTACCCAGTTTCCCACAATGATTTCCCTATATTTTAGCAATAACTTTGTTCTTTAAAAGTTATAGCATTAAGATCTATTGATCTAAAATTTACAAGATCAAAACTTCAAGAAGCAATTTTTCCTTTTGATAATATCTTGATAATAGTATGCGATCGAGCAAGCCCAATTACATGAAACATTTAAATATAAGAAAATATATTTCAGTTTTAATCCCAAGGACATGATGTGAAATCTGGACCCAAACGGGATCTTATATTAGTAGTATTAAATATTCTGAAGTTAAATTTTGATAACTTTCATTTTAATAACTTCCTCAAAACTCTATTTTTAGTTCAAACCCACGACAAAGAGGATTTAAAACCCTGTCGTCCTCTTGTATTTATTTTCAACACGGTTTTTTTGATCTGCATGCAAGGTGATTTGAATATTGACCATACCACAAAAGCGGAAACAGAACAGGTCTTAGTGAGAGGATACCTAATAGAACAATGGACAAGCAGCTCATTTTATTTGAATGAAATTGACTTTTAATAATACAAAAAAGCAGCTATCATGCTTTTCAATAAAACCACAGCTTGTCGATATCTTTCTTTAATCAGCAGCCAATCATTGACTCGTTCTAAAAGAATTACCTCGTCCATTACAATTACAATTTAACTAAAAACCTGATAAGAAAACACTAAAAGAACACAGCATCCAAGGGTTCCCAAGCACGTATGAGAAGTTTGCATAAGGTTTGAGAAGTAACCCGAATTCAGTCTCAACTTGTAAGACTTGGTGCATCAGATTTAGGCAGCTACTTTTGGTTCAGTGGCAGCCACGTTTGCGTACACAGGGTGGAGGACATGACCTTCCTTGGGCTCAACATGCACCCACTTGCGACCAGTCAGTTTGTTTCTTTCAAACTTCACCCAGCCTTCTTTCAAGGCAAAAAGAGTATGATCTTTCCCAAGTCCAACGTAGTTTCCCGGATGAAATCGGGTACCACGTTGCCTGACAATGATGTTTCCAGGTATTACTCTCTGCCAGAATAAACATAGAACTTCTGCAATGAGTTTAGGGCTAATCATTGAATAGATTGAGATGCTAACTTTCTGGGAATTTTTAAACAGTGCGGACCTGAAACTTCACCCACAATCAGGTCTAGTTCCATTTGTCCTCTCACAGTCTGCCATAAATAAAACTCTTGCTTAAAGCAACAATATCATACCTCACCACCAAATTTCTTGACACCAAGATTCTTGGGTTTTGAGTCTCTTCCATTCTTTGTAGATCCTGCTGTCTTTTTGGTAGCCCATCGTCTGAAAACCAGACTCAATCCTTCTCCAGAGACATCTAAGTTCAAATTAATTAACAGAAAAATCCTTACATTCTAGCTCATGTTAGAAAAATACAATTACACGAGCTAATGGAGCAATCATGAAATTTATACCACTTGAGTTTCTGTAAACAGGAGCATTCGAGACAAGCTCCTTGATATTCATCCTTCTGCATAGAGATGCTGCAAAATTCATCATTTTGTTCTCTGTTATGAAGACACTACCTGAAAAACACAAATCGGTAAAGTCAAGTTTCTTAATTATCTTTTTTTAAAAAAAAAAAAGAAAAGAAAAGACGTAATTTATCAAAATAGACCCACAAGTGGCAACATAAATCCTTATAAGAAAATAGCAACCTCGCAGATGCAAGGAACAAGAGATATGCAATGAGAAGAATTCTATCCCACAGTAAATAATATAGCAGAGATTGGTCAGAGTTTTATCATGCAGCTGTGCATAGTACACTCCTTTACAAAAGATGTCTCTGTCCTACTGTAAAGTGCGCACATTACAAACAACAATCACCACAAGTTATCATTGACCCACATAGCATAGGTTTTAAGACAAACCCGTAGTCCATAAATTAAACATCCATCAATCAGAACCAAAGAATTCTGGTGATTCAAAATGATTTCCTGAGAGTTGAAACGGTTTTCTCACAATGGCTATTAACCAGAAAGAGGACCAATATCACCAGGACTGCTATACCAAAACAAGAACCCATTCTACTTTTTTCAGCAGAATGTCAAAACCTTGAGGGTCAAACTAGCCCCATCCCAAATGGAAGAGGTGAATGGAGTACAGCAAAAACAGCACAAAATCACTCTTAATGGAACTCTTAAATGTGGAAGGAGAAGTGATAAAATTTTGGAATTGGCAGATCACCAGACAAAGTAAACCCATCTATATGCAAACAGATAAGCATCACCACGCTAATAGATTGAAGAGCAGATTAAAAGATGACATCTATAGAAACTCACAGCAAAATCTTTTGGTTGCAATGATTACATCAGAGCTATAGTGGTGAGAAGGGGACGGAAATACTTACCAGAAGTGTTCTTCACTGTTCCGTTCTTCAACACGCCAGAGAAGACGCCGAATTCGATCTCCGACTCCAAGTTCGAAGGTTTCAGAACGTATATCGAAAGAGAAATGGCCAAAAATCAGAGTGGGAAATTGGAAACGAAGGAGAAAAACGGCCCCAAACGTGAACGACACTGGTACGTCCTACTCGGGTCGATTACCCGATACTCGATCTCGCCCAATCATTGGCTTTTTTGACCCGGTGTTGTTTTGTTCAGGTTGGGTCAGGCATCGACGTATCCGAATGAGTTAACCGGGTTCACCGCACAAGTATTACGGATAAAGCGCAAGTGAATGATAGGGCCTTGGCTGCTGGTAAAAAAAAAAAAAAGACGCTTGGACATCTAAAAGGTTTTCTGAAAACAACTTTTCACAGATTAAGGTAAAGTTCTTCACATATTTACTTCTTATTTTATAAAATTATTTTTAAAATTATATGCGCACCTGGCTGTGGTGGGTGAGTTTCTCAGCAGGGATTTCTGTATATGCTGAGGCTCAAATTCGAGACATCGCTTAAGCAGTACCAAGCCGTTTATCACTTGGACTAACCGCCGTTGGTAATTATAGTTTAATTTTCATCCAAATACTTTCTTAAAAAAGCTAAGAGAAGTCCATCTTTGCCATCAATAAGTTACAAATAATTTTCATATAAGTTAAGATAAAACTCCTTTCACATATTCATCTTATATTTCGTAAATTAAAGAACTGCCAATAAACTATGTCAAGGGGGCCCTACTTCTAAACAGCTCAATAAGTATACAGATAAATGATTTCGAAATTATCATATGAAATGAAACTTAAGTGAAATAAATATTATTTAATTTAATTAAAAGGATAACTTCCTAAATTCTCTGCAACTTCAAAAATCAAGTATATGAAAAGTGAAAACAGTTTTTAACATTAAAATTATTTCTTTTCAAAATTACGTTTCTTTTATTTTAAAATAAAAAAATATTTTCAGAGATAAGACACCACTTTCATTATATTGTAACACTATAATATAATAAGCAGAAAGAATGGTCAAGTGTTTGGGCATTTTATTGCTTGCTTTCTTCCTTTCGGCAGGCACCACTGGACTTATTCTCTCTTTTCAAAGCTTTTGATAAAACAGAGGGAAATAAAAATGGATCTATTTTATTCTTGCCTCGCAACTGTTTTAATCTGACTATTTTTTGATATGATTTGAATTGTTTGCATTTAATATATATAAATTTATTATTTATATCTCTGAGAAGTAAACTAAAACAATCAGAGTATGTGAAAAAGTTTGATACTATTTTTTTATAATATACCCCTCTTATTATTCCTCTATCTCAAATATACAATTTGTCAATGCAGAGAGTATATAGGTTGGCCAAACAAAATGTAACATGATATTTCTCTGATCCTAATTTGTATTATAAAATATGTGTTACATTGGAGACTGGAGTATATATATCAATTTAATAAATGATAAAATGACTTGAACGACTCAGTTTTATTTTCCATACCAGCATTTGACATTTTTATAGGCCCAATATTTTATTATAAATAGTTGTTTTACCCAGTCATCCAGTTGACTTTTTTTTTCTCCCAGCCGGACGTTGTTTTGACTTTTGATTGGGTATTCAGTTTTGTTCTAACCAGTTAAAGTACACCGATTCTAAATATCAGACTCTTATACATACTAGTATAAAGGTTTTGTATTTAAAACTGAAAGAGTTATTTTGTATTGTAATATCACTTATTTTAAATATAAGATCTAATTTGTAGTATTTTATATTTAGCTATATAGGACTAAAAGTAATATAAAATAAATATATGAAAAGAATTTTATCTCATAAAACGTAAAAATAATTTTCAAGGACGTTTTCAGGCATCCCAAATTCTTTTACTTTTTTTTTCACGAAAAAAAAATTAAAGCTAAGACTTCATTCATAACAAGAAATCACATGGCAAATTTGGTGTTATCTAACAACTCAATGAACTTATAATGGCCCACCAATTGTTTATAATAAGGTGAATGATGATAATATATATACACACACTTATATATCGAGATTATTATTGTAGATGAGCCTGATTAAAGAAGTAGTATTCTTTATGGCCTCCATATAAACAAAATTAATAATAAGCCTTGTTAGAAAAAAATCAAAAGAAAAAACTAGATTAAATTCCTCCCATGCCGGTTGCTCCTCTCAAGATGGCAGTGAGAAAGGCTCGATGTAATTGAGTCTTTTCACGTGTTATTTCTCATATTTAATATAAAAGTTAATTGACTAATTCGAGTAAATTAAAAAATTTGTTAAATTAATTACCACTTTCGATCTTTAATATAAGAGTTAATTGATCAATTTGAATAAATTCATGAAATTAGTTGAGTTAGTTATTTGTAATAAAATAGGTGTTATCTTTCCTGAAATATCCTTATGTGTATTAGTTAGGGCACCATGTGATGAAATTTTTAACTTGTGTAATTATTATAAGGATTACGTTGGGAGAAATGGATAAATACGAGAGTCAAAATAAATTAGGATCTTATATTTTGAATCAAATTAAAAGCCAAATTAGCCCTTATCTTAAGGATTGGAGATGGTATTTGCACTAAATAAGTGTTATTTTTCTTAGAATATACTTGATAATCATGTGTATTAGTTAGAATTACTATTTGATAGAGTCTTTAACATGTACAACTACTATAAGGACTATTTTAGAAAAAATAGATAAATATAAAAGATAAAATATATTGAGATCTTGTATTTAAGATCAAATTCAATATCAAACTAATTCTTAGGTGAAGCACCAAAGATAATAGTTTTCAAAGATAGTAGTTTCAGGTTGTTTATCTCCCTCTCATATTGATTATCTACAAAAACGGATTAAAGATTAATAACATGCCAATCTTTAATTTCTTCACATTTCTTTCCCTCATGCAGAATAGAACCATCCACCATCAAGCCTAGCAAGAACCTTTCCATGGGAGAAACATTTACAAAAATTCATGCAAAATTCTGTTTAATAAATTTCTAAATTCTTACAAATAAGCCTTTTTTTGACCAGAAAATTCTTACAAATAAGCCTAGCTCCTATCCTATATATATTTCTTGAATTGATGCAACTTGGTTCCTGTGTTAATGGGAAGAAGGAATTCAAAAATTACATTGATCCTAAAGATAAAGAGGCTAGAAAAGTTGTTTGGGTTAAAAGGTTCTTCAATTTCTACACTTCTAGAATCGCAAATGGTAAATGCATAACCCATATTCGGTGACTTCAAAGTCCAAGCGCCCAGCTCACGCTGCCTACCCACCAAGTCATAAACTACGAAAAAGTAAAGCGAAGCTGATCAAAGTTTTCTTCTTTTCTCCTACGGTTAGCTCCCTCTCTCTCTCTACATTTCTTTCGTCAAAAGTTTATTGATCACTCTCTTTTGAGCTTAATCCCCCATCAATTTCTCTCGTTCTGTTCATTCATGGATCCACCTTTTCCATCTCATAGTGGCTTCAATTCTCCACGAAGAAGTCCTCTTGTGATCAAATTTCGACCAAACAATTTCTGGGTTTGAGCGGTTTCCGTGAAGAAGTTACTTTGAGCTCAATTTTCGGTCAAACAATTCTCGGGTTTGAGCTGTTTACTGGTTGCATATTCTGGCGTTGAAGGCTAAGGAGGGAGGATATGAAAGTACCTTGTTGTTCGGTTTGCCAAACACGGTACAACGAGGAGGAGAGAGTCCCTCTTCTGCTCCAATGCGGGCATGGCTTTTGCAGAGAATGCTTATCGAGAATGTTCTCGGCGTCCGTCGATACGACGTTGCCTTGTCCCAAGTGTCGCCATGTATCTAATGTCGGGAACTCTGTTCAATCTCTTCGTAAGAACTACGCCGTTCTCGCGCTTATCCACTCAGCATCGAATGCGTCCCGGTCGAATTTTGACGGTGACTTCACTGACGATGAAGAAGACGGGGACAGGGACGATGAGTCTGTCATATTCAGCCGTCGTGGGTCCCAGGCGTCGAGTTCGGGAACGTGTGGACCTGTGATCGAGGTTGGGGTGCACCGGGAAGTAAAATTCCTGCGGCGGATAGGTGAGGGGAGGAGGGCCGGAATGGAAACGTGGACGGCGGTGCTCAGTGGAGGCGGCAGAAGTGGACAGTGCAGGCACTATGTAGCGGTGAAGAAGGTAGGGATAACAGAAGAAATGAATTTGAATTGGGTGCGTGGACAGCTTGAGAATTTGCATCGTGCATCGAGGTGGTGTAGAAATGTGTGCACGTTTCATGGGGTTATGGAGGTGGACAAGAGTTTGTGTCTTGTGATGGACCGGTGTTATGGATCGGTTCAGTCTGAGATGCAGCGCAATGAGGGAAGACTCACTTTGGAGCAAGTCCTAAGGTTTTTGAATTTTCCTTTCCTTTTCTGTATTTATCTAATGGAGCACCTGGGGGACTTAAGGACAGATATTCACACTGCTTTGTGATGGGATAAAATATGGTAGCATAGTGGTGCAAAGTTGAGTATTTAATAAAAATTTCAAATACGTCCTAGATAGGGCTGCTTTTGTTATATGTTGGTTCTTTCTGATGGTCTATGTATTTTTCATTCGTGTGTTTTGCCCGAGAACCCTGGGCGCAAGAAGTATTTTATTTGAAGTGACATGCTTGATTGTGTTTTTGTTCATATAATATGGGTAACATTAAGATCACGTTGATGAAAATTTAGGTCTCTTTGCTTCCATATTGCTTTTCAATTAATCATAACAATGACCAACATTGACATCGAGTTTTTGTCAAATATAGGTATGGGGCTGACATTGCACGAGGGGTGGCTGAGCTTCATGCTGCAGGTGTTGTTTGCATGAATCTAAAGCCATCCAATCTTCTTCTTGATGCAAATGGTCATGCAGTGGTTTCTGATTATGGACTTGCCGGAATTCTGAAGAAGCCTTCCTGTTGGAAGGCCCAGCCAGAGTGTGACTCCTCGAAGATCCATTCATGTATGGAATGTATAATGCTCAGCCCGCATTACACGGCTCCAGAGGTCTGGGAGCCTGTGAAGAAGTCAAATTTATTCAGAGCTGATTCCACAGGTGTATTCACAGAGTCGGATGCCTGGAGTTTTGGTTGTACTTTGGTGGAAATGTGCACGGGTTTTGTTCCGTACGTGGAGCAATTTTTTGTTTATGCAAAATTCTTAAAATTAATCTTTCCTCTATTTTCTGAATTTGTAAAATCAACATATATGGTTGTGCAGTTGGGCTGGTCTAAGTGCGGAGGAAATTTATCAAGCCATTGTCAAGGCGCGGAAATTGCCTCCACAGTATGCTTGTATTGTTGGTGGCGGAATACCTAGGGAATTATGGAAGATGATTGGAGAGTGCTTGCAGTTCAAGCCATCTAAAAGACCTAGTTTTAGCGCAATGTTATCTACCTTTCTCCATCATTTGCAGGAAATACCCTGCAGTCCTCCTGCAAGCCCTGATAAGTATGTTTATAAAGTTACTATGTTTGTGACCTGTAACTTCTCTGTAGGTTAATGATATCTGATCAAAGAGCAAATGTAAAAACGTCATTTACACATGCAAAATTGATTGTGCATGTGCAAACTTCAAAATTGTCATTGATTGGCAGCAACTGTCTTTTGTAAAATATATATTTATCTGAATGCAGGGATTCTATTGAATGCTCTGTGTCAAATGTGCTAGAAGCTTCCCCTCAAGCACTTGAATTGAAACTTCCTCAAGATTATGTGAACCATCTTCATCGGCTTGTATCTGAAGGGAATGTTCGCGGTGTTAGGTTAGTAAGCTTCCAACTGATATGCATGAGCTAGCATTTACTCAAAATCAGTGCCAAATAATTCATTTTCAATAACCTTTCTTTTTTATGCAGACATCTTCTTGCAAGGGCCGTCTCAGTAAATGGTAGCAACTATATATCTTCTCTATTGGAAGCTCAAAATGCTGATGGGCGAACTGCTCTCCACTTGGCTTGTAGGCGTGGCAGTGTAGAACTTGTTGAGGCTATTTTGGCATGCAAAGAAGCAGATGTTGATATCTTGGACAAAGATGGAGTTCCTCCACTTGCTTTTGCCTTAGCAGCAGGATCTCCAGAATGTGTTCGTAGTCTTGTCAAAAGAAATGTTAATGTGAGGTCTCAATTAAGAGATGGCTTTGGCCCATCTATTGCTCACATTTGTGCCTATCATGGCCAACCAGAGTGCATGCGAGTAGGTTTTACTTAAATTATACAGAGGCTTCCTCCTGTCTACTAGAGCTCTATTAATGTAGTTATGGAAAAATGACAGGAGTTATTATTGGCTGGAGCTGATCCAAATGAAGTTGATGACCAAGGTGAATCTATACTGCATTGTGCAGTTGCCAAGAAGTATACAGATTGTGCTCTAGTGATACTAGAAAATGGGGGCTGCAGATCAATGGCCATCTTAAATTCAAAGAATCTGACGTAAGTGCTAGCATCCCTTTATCAATTTCACATTGAGCTTCGAATGTGCATGTCAGGTGTGTCAATCTGTCTAGAGGTTCAAAAAATTGACATAGATTAAACGCTAGTAAATACTACTTACATTAACAGCCTGTATTTGTGCACTGGAAGAATGGATTTTCTGCAATTGTTTTATCATCATGGACATTATATTGTATAGTTTATTTTGGTAAAGGCTAAGATTAGATTCTTATCGTGATATTGTTCAAATTCATTTTATGGTGATTTTTATTCAACGAAGTTTCTCCTTGTTTGAGAATGCCCCTCAGCTAGATGATAGGTGCAACGGTGTACTTGTATTATTTTTCTACATATACTCCTGAAACACCTTTCTCAGTTTGGAATGATGTGGCTGTTCCAAGGGCAGTTGTTGTTTAAATAAAGTCTAAATAATGATTGGGAAAAACATTATAAATGCTACATTTAATAGCAAAATTGATTAACATGGTTTTCTTCTCTTTTGATGTTGCAGACCATTGCACTTGTGTGTGCAAACTTGGAATGTGGCTATTGTAAAAAAATGGGTCGAAGTTGCAACTTCTGATGAGATTGCTGAAGCAATTGACATACCAAATCCCATTGGCACTGCATTGTGCATGGCAGCTGCAGCTAAGAAAGATTGTGTAATTGGTATGTGGAAATTGGGACAATTCTTCACCTGCAATTTAAATATTAGGCTTCTTTTATTTAAAGCTTTATTGCACTTTTCTATTTGACTGTCATTATTTTAGTTCGTTGTACCTTCATCTGAATAGGTTGGTTCTGTTAGCTTACTTAAGTTATTAAAAGCACCTAGAACACTTCGGCTGCCACTAGTGTGTAATGCATTATAGCATACTAGCTACATGAACATGTGTCACGCAATTGTAAAAACCTCAAAAATATACTTGATTTGTGCATGCGTCATGCGTGCATGAATGTGTGAGAGAGAGAGAGAGAGAGAGAGAACTCATTTAGAAAAGCCTCATAACAACATAACTGTCACACGTAAATGGCCATATTATGTCTTTGCATGGAATTTCTAGTTTTATGCAGCTATAAATTATATATCTAGGCGTAAAGCAAAATTTCTGATGTTTATATGGTTTTTAAATTATATAGATCGCATGTGAACATAGATCGTATGTGAGAGTTGAGGCACTTGCATGATCTATATATTAATGGCATAACTATTTCCTTCATTTTGGTCATGTTTGAAGTGTGCCCTTGAGTTGATGGTTTGTGCCATTCTGCTGCTTCCTCTTCTGCTGTTCAAAATAATGATTTGAGTGTTGTTTTTCTCTGTTTGCTACAGTAGCTGAATAGTCTGATCTTGTTTTGCTCCATTGAATGCAGAGGGAAGGGAATTGGTTCAAATATTGCTTGCTGCAGGTGCTGACCCATCTGCTCAAGATTCACAGTATGGACGAACAGCTTTGCATACAGCTGTCATATCTAATGATGTGGAGTTGGTTAAGGTAAGTGGTTAATGTTCTTGCTGAATAAAATGGATGAATAAGTAACTAAAACTAGATGGTACGTATGCTCTGTTTTTGAGGGAATTGATTTAGCTGTGCACACTTAGTACTGTCTTCTAACATAATTTTTGTTTTTGGGTGTTTAACTAGGTTATTCTTGCTGCCGGTGTCGATGTGAACATTCGTAACGAGCAAAATAGTACACCTCTTCACTTGGCATTAACAAATGGGGCAAAGTCATGTGTTAAATTGCTTCTATCTGCTGGGGCGAATTATAATTTGCAGGTATTCATTCAAGTTTCCGTTTCTGATGTTTAGTCATGCATAAGCATACTCGTTTTCTTGACCAAGATGTCGCTTTCGGTCAGAGATGTGGCATTCTTTCCTTTTTTTTAAGACTTTATATTAAATTCCCTTTCTATTGGTCTATAAGAGATTAGAAATTGGACTTTAATAAATCACGTATTTAATGCTCACATGAATCTATGATACAGGCCACTTCATTACTGAGTAATTTACAGCAAATTTCTGTTTGAGGGTTAATAAACCTAGGTAGACTTCTCAATAGAAGACATGGAAATGAGATGCTGGATTTATTACTGTGTTGATACATTTGACTTCTCTGGAGTGGGCTGCATTCTATAGTAAAATTATATATATATATATATATATATCTGTTACTAAGAAGTTATTGGTTGATGTGGCAACGGCTTCACCCCTGAAAAAGAGAACATAAGTTTGAACCCTGGGAAGTGCAGTTGTTGAGAGGGCTTTTCTTAACCGCACTCGGCCTGAAAAAGACTAGTCTATATTATGACTTTCTTTTCATGAACAGATATTTCAAAGGAACAAAGAAATATGGGTGGCTCTCCTAAGAACAAAATCAAGAATAGAAAAGAGAAGATAGAAATGCAAAATGTATCAACCCGATTCATCTAATTATCTAATAAACAGACGCCCTAGAAGAAACCATGACCTGAATGCCAAAGAGAGGCCACACAAAAGTTAAACTATCCCATGAAGCCTCTAAAGACTGTAACGGGCTTCTAGCATAAAGTTCGCTCCTTCTTTTTCTGTTTAATACCTTTTAATTGTGCAAAGAACTTTTCCATATCTAGTGGGGAAGTCAATTCTGACCAAAATCCCCGAACAATATGTCCCAGTTGTAAGCAGCTGCTTTGCAATGTACAAATAAATGGGGCTATTTTTTGACTAGCCTCTAGACAGGCAAATAAGATAGAGATTAGGGGGAAAAGCTGAGACCTATGAATCTGCAACATGTCATTTGATTAATTCCTCATCCAGATAAAAGATTTGAATAGCAAATAAATTTAAGTTATTTATATTATACTGTTAACTTTGCATCAGGATGATGATGGTGACAATGCTTTGCACAAAGCAGCAAAGGCTGCAAAATTGGCACGCGAAAACCTTGACTGGCTCATTGTTATGCTAAGAAGGCCTGATGCTGATGTGCATGTCAGAAACCACAGGCAAGTAGAAGTCAGAGCCTAAAGGCACCATCTTTTAATTTGACTTACACATTTCATTCTCTCTGCCATTTACATGTCTTAGAACTATTGACAATCCAGTAAACTAGGCATGTTAATTATTATTGTTTACTCTGCATAAACAAATTAGGCACTTTGAGTACTAATATCTGATAGAATCAGCTTTATTTACCAGACCTATAAAAGTAAAATTAGCAAGATACATGGAAGAGTAAAATCACTTTCTGCTACCCTGGACGTTGGCCTCAAGCTTTATTGTCTTTTAGAGAAAGTTATTGAGCATATTAGTTACTCTAGGGTGGCTATAGGCCTGACCTAGGAAACTGTTGTATTGGGGGTTGTGAGGATCACTTTTTGGAGTATTAATATTCGTTGGGTTCTCAGTGGAAGGGGGACTTAATTTTTGGACTGAGTTTGGTGAGGAGAGTGCTGGCCTCTCGAATGCCAGGTGAGGGGTGGAGGAAGAGAGTCTTTCTTCATCATTTTCTTTGTATTTCAGTGTGTATTTTAGTGTGCTAGTGAGTTGAGTGACCTTTGTTGTTTCCTGTGTGAACTGTGCCAGTTATATATTGTATTGAACCCAACCTTTGTGTGATTAATATCAGTTTCAGCATTACTTGTCTACTGTTTTATCTTGGTCTCTATCAATATCCTCCTGTGACTGATAAGTCTATATTTCATGACAGTGGAAGGACGCTACGTGACATATTGCAGGCCCTTCCCCGGGAATGGATATCTGAAGATCTGATGGAGTCACTCATGTATAGAGGAGTTCATCTGACTCCTACAATGTGAGGGAAAGAATTCATTGTTTTATATCTTATTTTTGTTTTCATGGCAGTAACATGTACTGTTTAATGTCTATTCATATACAACTAGTATGTATTATAATTTCTTAAGTTCATATAATATCTAGGTTTGAAGTGGGAGATTGGGTGAAGTTCAAAAGAACTGTCACAACTCCAACATACGGGTGGCAAGGTGCTAGTTCAAAGAGCGTTGGCTTTGTGCAAAATGTTCCAGGCAAAGACAGACTCATTGTTTCATTTTGTTCTGGAGACGCTCATGTTTTAGCAAATGAAGTTGTGAAAGTCATTCCATTAGACAGGGGTCAACATGTACAGCTGAAATCAGAGGTTAAAAAGCCTAGGTATGGTTTTGCATTAATGCTACTTACGGTAGATCTTTGGTTTCTAATCCTTTCATCTTACTTGATTGGTGTGATTTAAAGGTGGACGCTCACTGACCTCCTCCTGGCTTTGTGAAGATCTGTGAAAGTGACAGAACTAACAGAGCTGGAACTTGAAATGTCATACGATTCAGTAATATCGTTAATGTGAATCAACAAAACAGTAATGAAATTGACACAACATGGATTATTAATTCTGCCACTTCTAATCCGTCAGAATATGACGCCATAAATCACCATGGCTTGAACAGTATATATCTTTCCTTGTACTTTGTCCTGTGGTTGTGTGTGTGAGAGAGAGTGTGTTTAGAGTGTAACATAATTTGTTAACTGCTTCTATCTTTCTCTCCCGTATCCCTCTGTTTTCATCTAAGATGGTGTGTGTGAGTTTGGTTTTGCATCACAAGCATATGTTATACAAGGGAAAAGCTCTGGTTGAATGTGGAAGCATGTTCAGGCTCTCGTTTCAGTTGGAAAAAGGGAAACAGTTGCAGATGACACGTGTTTGACTATTGAAGCTCTGTTAACTGGTGTCTCATTTGTGGGCATATGCTTGCAACCCTTTGCTATTTTTGTATGTTTATACGTTGTTGATGGATTGTCTTTGTTAGGTTTGGTTGGCGCGAACAGTCACGTGACAGCATAGGCACAGTATTATGCATTGATGATGATGGAATCCTACGGGTAGGGTTTCCTGGAGCATCCAGGGGATGGAAAGCTGACCCAGCAGAGATGGAACGGGTTGAGGAATTCAAGGTTGGAGACTGGGTACGCATTCGTCCAACTCTTACATCTACAAAGCATGGGTTAGGGTCTGTTACACCGGGAAGCATTGGTATTGTATCTTCTATCAGACCGGACAGTAGCCTGCTGATAGAACTCAGCTATCTTACAACTGCATGGCATTGTGAACCGGAAGAGGTTGAGCATGTTGCTCCTTTCAGGGTAAGGAATAGACCAACTGCTTTGCTTTTAAGGCACATCTTATTTATCCTGTCTTATTTATTTACCATGTATAGAATTGACATTAACAATGAGTTTTATTGCCATAGCATTAACACAGTTGATCTTACAGATTGGAGATCGGGTATGTGTGAAACGATCTGTTGCAGAACCTAGGTGTGCTTGGGGAGGTGAGACTCATCATAGTGTCGGAAGAATCAGTGAGATTGAGAATGATGGCCTCTTAATAATTGATATACCAAACCGACCAATACCATGGCAAGCTGATCCATCTGATATGGAGAAGCTAGAAGATTTTAAGGTTGTTATTCTCGTTCTTGGCCATTCTCTGCTATTTTTTCTTTTATTTGTCTATTGTAAGATGCATTATTAATATCTTCCCTTGGTATATTGCTGAAGAGCAGGTTGGAGATTGGGTTAAAATAAAATCTTCAGTGTCATCCCCAAGATATGGATGGGAGGATGTTACCAGGAACAGTATTGGGGTAATTCATAGCTTGGAGGAAGATGGCGATATGGGTATCGCTTTCTGCTTCAGGATTAAGCCTTTTTGTTGCTCTGTCACAGATGTGGAGAAAGTGCCCCCTTTAGAGGCAGGGCAAGAAATTCATGTGATGCCATCCGTTACTCAGCCTCGACTTGGATGGTCAAATGAATCACCAGCTACTGTTGGAAAAATAGTGATGATTGACATGGATGGTGCTCTCAATGTAAGCTTACTAGTTTAAATTCTAAATCTTGTGCAAGAAATTATGTTCAAAATGACTGATCATATGAGTTCTGAAGTATTAATGGAAACCATAGTTAAACAGGATCTATGACTACCGTATGTAGCTTTCCAATAATAAGCATCAAAACTTGTAGAGCCTTGCAAAATTGCCTGTGAAATACCCTCAATTTTGAGCTACAGCTGCAGTTAAAAGTGGTGCCTCGGCTCTAGAGCAACGAATTTCTTCCTGCGAGATTAAGTCTTGGCATTTAAAGAAAGCCATTGTTTATTTTAGCCTTGCCAACAGACTTTTCCTGTCTGTCCATTCAACATTACTCAGGTGGTGATTATTTAGCCACTGCTGCTACTAGAAATGTTTGTTTTAGCTAAACTTAAAATAAACATCCATTGACAAAGCTATATATATGATTTCCCCTTTTTAATTATTGTAGTTGTAAAATATATTGTGGCTGAATCTTGTGTAGGTTAGAGTCACAGGGAGGCAGACCTTGTGGAGAGTTTCTCCTGGAGATGTAGAACAACTTTCGGGATTTGAAGTTGGTGACTGGGTACGTTCAAGACCAAGCGTGGGAACCAGACCAAGTTATGATTGGAATGGTGCTGTGAAGGACGGTATAGCAGTTGTGCACAGTATACAGGATTCTGGATACTTGGAATTGGCTTGCTGTTTTCGTAAACAGAGGTTCTTCACTCATTATACTGAAGTTGAAAAGGTTCCATGCTTTAAAGTTGGGCAGCATGTTAAGTTCCGAACTGGTTTGGTTGAACCAAGGTGGGGCTGGAGAGGTGCTCAGGTTGAATCTCAAGGCGTTTTAACCAGCATCCATGCTGATGGAGAAGTAAGGGTATTATTCTTTGGTTTGCCGGGTTTGTGGAGAGGAGATCCTGCAGACCTTGAAATTGAGCAGATGTTTGAAGTGGGGGAGTGGGTAAGGTTGAAAGATAATGCAAGTAATTGGAAATCCATTGGACCAGGTAGCATTGGTATTGTACAAGGAATAGGATTTAAAGGTGATGAATGGGACAGAAGCATTTGTGTTGGCTTTTGCGGGGAGCAAGAAAGTTGGGTTGGACCAACTTCTCATCTTGAAAGAGTTGACAAACTCTCTGTTGGGCAGAAGATTAGAGTCAAGCAAACTGTAAAGAATCCAAGATTTGGTTGGGCAGGGCACACCCATGCTGACGTTGGAACCATATCAGCAATTGATGCTGATGGAAAGCTTCGAATATACACTCCACCAGGCTCAAAAGCACGGATGTTGGACCCGTCAGAAGTAGAATCGGTGGAAGAGGAGGAGGAGATACAAATTGGAGACTGGGTGAAGGTTAGAGCATCAGTTTCAACCCCAACCCACCAGTGGGGAGAAGTGGGTCACTCAAGCATTGGGGTGGTACATCGAATGGAAGGCAAGGATCTCTGGGTGTCATTCTGTTTCATGGAGAGACTATGGCTTTGTAAGGCATGGGAAATGGAAAGGGTGAGGCCATTCAAAATTGGGGACAAGGTAAGGATCAGAGATGGACTTGTCAGTCCAAGGTGGGGTTGGGGAATGGAGACACATGCTAGCAAGGGAGAGGTGGTAGGGGTAGATGCTAATGGAAAAGTAAGGATAAAATTCAGGTGGAGGGAAGGGAAGCCCTGGGTAGGAGACCCTGCCGATATTGTTCTTGATGAGAAGTGATTTGTTTCCTATCATCATATTGAGAAAATCTTTTACACAACTAGGTTTCCTAGTTCAGCTCCTGAGCCCTGTTTTCTGGCCTTGGGGCTTGTACATAGATTGTTAGAGCTTTAGTCTCATTTTAAGCAGACGCCTATGAAATAACTTTATTAGGTTAGAATGCCATTGGAGATTCTGAGGGTAGCAAATGGAAGATTGGCAGTGGGACTGGGCTGTTCACATTCAGTACACTGAGCTAAAGTATCTACCAGATTATGAGGTATATATATAATTCATATTTTTTATACAAATCGTGCTCTACAGTCACCGCATTCTGTTTTTATCACTAACCCACAATGCCTGCTCGCAAATGCATATATACCGATCCATCTATGCATCTAAAATGCCGAATGTTCTTTTTCATAGCTCTGTTTAAACTCAGACAAAAGTTTGAGTATCAGGTATTTGACAGAAGATTCTCGCTGGATATCTAGTTTTAAGGCAAGTGGAAGTTTTTGTTGCGCAGTTCTTCCGCTGTGCACTAAATGGTTCCTTTCAAAAGAAATTTAAATAAAAAGAGGTGAGAAGTATGAGATGAAAAATGAGTATAGGGTATTTGTTATTTAGTCTGAAACTCAGTCAAGGACATTGTTGGGATTGGACAGATCTTCCGCTTAGAATTTTTTTATTAATATCTTTTGGTAATCATCTGCCCTAGTTGAAAACTAATCTTATTAGCACGTCCAAGCGGAGGTTCAGCTCTTGATATTCATAACATCGTCGCAAACTTGAAATCCCAGTAATTTATAATCGTAATGCTATCAATAGCATACACGGAGCAGTGACATCATAACGTTTGGATAATTTAAAATCAGACATTGTAAGTGGCTTTATAATTAATACTACCTCAGATGAAAACAAATTTGCCAAATGGCAGCCTTCACATCGCCTGCTAAAGGGCATATATGGCCAGAAGTATATGTTCAACGCGTATCCAGAAGCATGAATGTGCACTGGGGATACAAAGTAAATCATATTAACTAGTACTTCAATTCAGAATATTTCAGAATTAACTCTTACGAATTATTCTGAAGATATCAATTCACAGAGACTTGAACAGTAGATTGTGTCTAATGTTATCCCACAACTATTTTTTTCAAACAAAAAGAATCAGGGAAGATCCAGGTGCCCTATAGATCAGTTGACAACAAATCAATCATTTTTACCACAGGAAACTGCCCCTCGCGAAACTCACCAATAATCCTGATGCCATTTGGAAAAAGAATCAAGAGCAACCCTCATCCATTCATGTCTGCATCTTTCAAAAGCCTCCGGCACGGTCAGCCAACTCCTGTTTCTGGTACTTTGCTCAGGCCATGACTCAAGTTCTTCCTTGACAAACAAAGCAAACATCGCTGCTTTACATAAACCTTCTGGACTGAATTCATCCTGATGCGTCTTACTCCTAAATTCATAGTACCCCAGAAAATCCTGGAGCACAACGACCATAAGCATTAAAGAACCAGCAGTCTCATTTACAATTAAATCAAGATACTAGGAGTTCCAAGGTGTAACAGTTTTATAGTAGTGATAAAGATCAAAAGCATGCCAACCACGTTGATAATACCACTATCACGTCATACCTTTGACTTTTAGTCATCATAAAGACTTCATTCCATTCATTATATCGTGTTCAAAACTAATCTACTCCCATGCTATCTAGTTAAGTCTTATTCCACAGGTTAATGTTGACTCCAGTGCTTTCAATTGTACGAAGCTAAACCGAGCTTATTGTGAACCTCTATGGTTATTATCTACGGTGACAATAACATATAGAATGACAAGCGGGTATCTCAGTCAAATATGCTATCCAAATTCTCACCTAGAAACCTTGCAAATACTCAATTATATACACAGAAGCTAAAAATTATATTGATAAAATAAAGAAGCTAAAAATATAGTCAAATGAAAGTATTTTACCTTTAGTTCTCCTCGAACACCTGCCTCTTCAATAGCTTCTCTTACAGCTGCCTCTTCAACAGTTTCATCATTCTCCCAACCTCCCTTCATTTGAAAGGAGAATCACAGATCAGGTTATGAAGTTGCCGGCAGTTATGGTGGGGAAGCAAAATAAAGTTTGACAGCACGGTGTGCTATTTAATGGAGGTATCAAAAGTGAATGTACGCCAAAAAAGTGACCGAAGGACCATAAAAGCAGATAACAGTGTCCAAGGGTGCCAGTAGTTTAGTGTACAAATTTACAATCAATTTACTATGAGTCATCTAAGGGCCTAAAGTCAGTATTTTAGTGCAATAAATAATATCTAGTCTATTGCATTATTTTAATCAGGAAATTATAAACTTCACACCAATTAGTATTACGGACTTCAACTCTTCAAATCATTGTGGGCACAGCCATGATGACTTAAGACACGAAGGGAGACAAAACAAGCCACCAAACTTCACAAAATCAAAATTAAAATTATTTTTCCATGATCGAAGTGACAACTATTTATCTGACTAAAGCCCTATCAATAAACAACTACAATAAAAAAAAATTGTAATCCCAATTATAACACTTCCCTGTGCTTCAACAAATTTATTGACCATTAATTTTTTGGGGATTACTAACAAAATCCTAAAATTGTCCCATTTATCTGAGAAGACAATACTAAGTCCCGGAGGACATTAAATCTTTATTAATTCTGCTCTTTCATTCTCATCCTCAAAGCAGGAAATCATTGCAGGCAAGGACTGGGTATAAAGTTTCATTACTAACTATAGTAGTAACTATTAAGTGACCCAGTCATACAACAATAATTAGAGTTACTAAAACTACGACAAATATATAAGAGAATATTCCAGAGTCCATACCTTCGGAAAAAGAAGACCTGGTCCGCTTTGTGAGCTAATCATGAGAACTTCAATAATCTTCTCTGAACCGGACTCCCCACTGTTATCAGAAATTCTATACCTGAATGGAATACATCTGCAACACAATAAGCAGCCTCCAAAGGTCAGATCTATATGTAGTTGCATGCGAAGAATATCACATCGCAGCTTTAATTCTCAGCCAAAATAACTTTTGCTCCACATACCCTTTTTTTTTTTTTTCCAGATTGTTCCACATGCTAAAAGCTGCTTCATTACACTCACAAGCAAATTTAAGCATTGCAATCTCAACGATTTCATTTCCCAACTAATTTATCCCTCAGCCTGCATAAATGTTTACTACCATATCGTGCCAACAAAAACACCCAATATAACACACCAATACGTCATTTTTAAAGGGATCACACTAAATTTACAAAGATGGAGAACAAAATTTGTTCCCCCATGCATCCCATAGAGCCTTGGAAAGGAATACCGCCTAGTGATACGCATCATCTACTCCTCAGAATGAAGCCAGCAATGAAAAAGGAAAAAAAAAGGTGAAGAAAAAATTAAAATAAGATCATTTTCCATATGCGTACACTATGATCTCCACGCCTTCACAACCAGTAAACATGTCCTCGTCGTCGTTTATGATGTAAATTAAAAATACGAATGGAACTGCCTCGTATTATACTAAGAAATAAAATGGTCGGCACGAAAGCTTATAGAAACATATCGGAACGAAATGACTGCCGTAATTTGCCAAAATTGTCCACGAAACATGTCCAATTGAACTACAGGATTCAAACGAATCCAATTAAAAAAAAAAAAACTTGGCCCAATGTATCGAATTAACCACATATTTTAATGCTATATAACACTACACACACACACACACACACATATATATATATATAATATTCCCAACACCCTTACCAAATCGAAAGTCCAAATTAATAGTCAAGACGGGGGAATCATCAGCCAGATCAGCCGCTATCAGCCTATCAGGAAGGCAAGATGTAATTTCTTAACCGAAAAGCTAAATCTATACATCGACACGTAGCTCCAAGCGAAAATCACATCTTTCCTAACAACGACGAACAAAGCCACCACTTTCTCTCTCTTTTTTTGGGGGTGCCCCGGGGGGGCTGCTTAGTTGGGGGGATCAATATTCAAACAAGCCCCGCATACCATATGAATGAAGAACGACAAAATAGAGGAAAAATCTGGAAAGCGTACCCGGCAACAAGGCGAAAACCACCCTCGTACCGCTGCTGAAGCCGACCCGTACGGGCCACCAAGTCAGACATAATAAGGAAGAAACCCAGTCCCTCAATTACACTACTCAGAATTCACAAGATAACAGTTATTCGCCATGAAACCCGATTGCAGGCACACGAAAATGAGAATGCTCAAGGCTGCACTAGATAACAACCCCGCCATTGCTGTCCATGGTTAGGCGGCAGTAATGGACGCTCCTTCGCATCACCAGAATGGCCTCCTCCGCAAACTTCTCCTTAGGGTTTGCAATCCATTGCAGAGAGAGACGTAGAGAGAGAGAGAGAAAGCAACAGCAAGCGAATGGTTGATTTAGGGAGAGAAAGCGCAGAAGAACGAAAGAAGGAAGCAACACGAAATGAATGGTTGATTTAGAGAGAGAAAGTGCCAAAGAACGAAAGGAGGAAAGGAACCGACTCCAACGGATCTGATCGGGGACGGTGAGGACGGTCATGGTCACGTGGATATGGTCAACACGTGGGACCCATTTGGAAGATCATTAATGTGTTCACTGGCCAGAGCTCTACGGAACATGGATCAATGAGACCATTCATGTAACGACACGTGGAATGTGGCAGGGCTCAATCCATTGAAAGATGTTTGATTGGAAGGTGTATTGATGAAGCGACATATGCGCAGCATTGGATCGAAGCCGGTGGAAGAAGTCAGCGAGAGGCCGTTATAAAAGGTAAGGAGTGTTTGCTTTCGCGGAATAGACGGGAAGGAACGATTTAATGTGGGGATTTTGTAGGGCCCTCTTGCCCTCTGGATCTCATAAATAAAAGAAGGTTCTTGGAGCCTTGTCAATTTTCATAATGATTTTTGAGTTAATATATTTTTCATCTTTTAAATTTACACTCATCTTAGTTTTGGTTTTTTAAATTTTGAATTACAGGTTTTGGTTCTAAAGAAACAAAATGATTCTACTTTTTATTAGATTATGAGAACTAATATCATAAATGAAAAGAAACTTAAGAGACTAAAACCTATTATTTGAAATTTGAGGGACCAAAACCTATGGTCTAAAATTTAAAGAACTAAAACTAAAAGAAAAATAAACTTGAAAGACCAAAGTTTGTATTACCCCATGATTATTTTTTTTGGTTTTTGGAAGAGCATGACTAGTTGGATTTTCTTAGCAGTTTTCAAAAAATATTATTTTTTTGATAAATCATGTCTAATTATTTCACATACAAACATTAATCAATGTTTCTTGAAGTTATTTAATCACTTCAAAAAATTCATTAATTAAATATTTTTATTGTCTTAATTAATTAAAAATACCTCTTCTCCATAGACTTCTTGTAAAAAAAAATTGAAAAAAAATTATAGATAAAATTATACCACTAAAAAACTAGAGGTAAAATTGCATCTAAGAAATAGCATCAAGAAATAAAATTGTATTTTTTACCCAAAAATATTAGGTATCCATAAATAAAAATACCAGAACTTTACCAACAAGTTGTTAGCTGATCTAGTAAACAGCAAAGTCGAATTTTGAAAAGTGCACTTGTATCTTGAGCTTAAAGTGATTTGAAAATATGTTAAGTTATTAAAAGAAAAATAAAGGGTTAAGGCGCGCCCAACACCCCAAACCATTTTTCCAGGTGCGCCCAGTGTCCTAAACTAATTTTTGGTGCATCCAGTGTTTCAAACTAATTAAAACGGTGCGTCTATATCCCGAGTTAATAGAAATGTTATCTTTTACCATCAGCCCGTTGACTCAGCATAAAATTGACCAAGAAATCCTACCTGGCAAACACGTGTAATCTGATGTGGATAAATATTATGACTGAAAGATCATCCTATTTTCTCTCATTTTCTGTTATTGTAATGTTATTGTTTCTGCCAATTTTTACACTAAACTTGAAAAACAAAGAAAGAACACCATCCAGAACGATTGAAAGCGGAGAAGTTAGGGTTCAATCCTTACCCCCAATCTCTCGTCGGTGGACTGAGCCAATCGATTGAGGTGAGCTAGAGGACAATGGGAGAAGATGAGAATGTTGGAGTCGATGTGGACCACGGTAGGAATGATCTGGCAGTGGGTCCGGATGACATGGAGAGGGAGAAGGCCGTCGACGTGGAAGAGGAGTTGGATGACGTGGAGCTCGACGGAGATGATGTGGCCGGGGGGTCGAACTAGTCGGAGGTCAACTCAGATGAGTCGGAGGTTGACTCAGAGCTCGAGGCTGGGGATGGACGAGAGTTGAAGCAGAACCCATACGGTGAAACGAGTAAGTCCTGAAATATAATGTATTCATTGCAGTTTTGTTTTTTCGCAGGAACACGTCTAAATGTTTCAATCTCTTCTCTGTAACTTGAACCCATTCATCTGTGTACTGAGTAATAACTTGAACCCATGAAGTATTAGTGTTTGTTAGTTTCGTCTTATGAAGTGGTTTGGCTGAAGTATTAGTGTTTATCAGTTCTGTCTTATGAATTGGTTTGGCTGAAGTATTAGTGTTTATCAGTTCTGTCTTCTGAATTGGTTTGGCTGAAACATATTTATGTTTTTGAAATATGGTTATAATTTGTATTGAAATAGATGCTTCATTTGAGTATGAATATGAAGGGGGGAGGAAGAGTGCGAAGAAGAAGATTATGAATCTTCAGGGGAGGAGGATGAGTCCACGGAAGAAAACACTGAATCTAAAGGGGAGGAGGATATGTTAATGGAACAAGAATTTGGGCAATCTGAATCACAAAACGCACTATTCTTCAGCATCGGCATGACATTTGCCACTGCTGAAGAAATTAAGAGGGCTATTAACTAATATGCAATAGTAGAAGGAGTTAATCTAAAACTGATAAAGAGTGACTCATCAAGAACAAAAACTATATGTCAAAAGGACTGTCCTTTTGTTGTGTATGCTTCAAAAGAGCAGTCAAGTATGAGCATAGATGCCTTAGGGTTTTTAAAAACAAAAGAGCCAGTGCAAAGTGATTAGCTAACCACTTTAAGAAGAAGATTCAAGAAATGCCACAGTATAAAGCTAGCGAGATGAAAAGGGATGTTGAAATTGAGTTTAAGGTACATGTTAGCATTCATAAATGCAAGAGAACAAAAAGATTGATAATGGATGAAATGGAAGGAAGCTATAAGGATGAATTTCACAATTTAGAAGCTTATTGTAATGAGCTGAGAACTTCAAACCCAGGTTCGGATATTAGTGTTGAGGTGAGCAAAGAAGCTTTGGAAAATGGTAGAAGAGAGTTTAGGAGGATGTATGTATGTTTCAATGCTTGTAAGGTAAGGTCGAACAATTTTTTGGCAACTTGTATTTGTTGATTTTTCAATTCAATTGCTCACGTTATAATATATGTTTTTTGTCATTTAATATCAAGGTTGGGTGGAAGGCGGGTTGCAGGCTGTTTATTGGGCTAGATGGCACCTTTTTGAAAGGTAAAGCCAAAGGGATCTTGCTCAATGCAACTGGCATTGATGCAAATGACTGTTTGTATCCGATAGCATTTGGATTAACCCAACAAGAAAATAAATGCAATTGGAGGTGGTTTTTACAATGGTTGAGGCGATCACTTGATCTTGAGGATGGAGAGAAATTTACACTAATGTCAGACATGCAAAAGGTACGGTTTATTTTTTTTGGGATTGCAATATAATTTTTCAACCTTGTATTTGTTTGTTGTGAATGCAATATAATTTTTTGTTTCCTTATAAACAAATAAACAGTTCGGTGATAGGCATGCAGTAACCATGGCAACCATGCATATATATAAGGTTTTATTCTTCAGTGGCTTGTGAAGTCAGCAACAGACCCACGTGATGGGTTATACACAACACATGTGATTGGACATTTGAGGACATCTTCATTAGAATTTAATGGGTTCACGTTATTGTTGATTATAATATAATGTGAGCTTGTTTGGTTCTTTTTGTCTATTTGTATGGTTCAAGACAAGGTCAATAGAGAAGTTATATAGTGGTGAGGGACCACTAGCTACTCCTAGTTTTGTAACACACCGTTTTGTAGAAGAGTGAGAATTTTTTTTGTTTTATATGGTCCACGAGAGGGGACGTGAACTAAGAGATATTGTTGTACAAGAGATATATGTTTTATAACACAGTTTTATATGTTTTATATACTCAATGTTTAATTATTGTTTAATGACGTGCAGGGGTTACATTTAGCTATACTAGAGATATTGCCTAAGTTTGAGCATAGACTATGTGCTAGACATATCTATGCAAATTGGTCCAAACGTTGGAGGGGACATGAACTACAGAAGAAATTCTTCTCTTGTGCTTGGAGTACATATGAAGAGCAGTATGTGGATAACTTGAAAGACATGGAAGCTTTGAGCAAAGAGGCAGCACAATCAGTTCTGTCTTATAATCTGACACAATAGGTAAGAGCATATTTTTCTACCAAGTGTAAGTTGTGGATTGTGGACAATAATTGTAGTGAAAGCTTGAATGCTTGGATTTATGAGTATCAGTTTCTTCCAGTTATACGTATGTTTGAAGGGATAAGAGAGAAAATGATGCAAAAATGGGCTGATAGTGAGAAAGTTGCTAGCTTATGGAAGAATGAGTTTAGCCCAAAGTGTGTTGATTTATATGAGACAAATAGGAAGCTAGCTGCAGGTTGTAAAGTTGTGTTTAACGGGGATGATGGGTATGAAATTACTGAGGGCTCAGAGATTATGCACTTGCAAAGCATGGGAGTTGACCAGGGTTCCCTGTCAACATGCGATTTGCGCAATCTATCATGAGAAAATGGAACCCAGTAGTCACATCTCACAGTATTATCACAAGATGACATTCCCAGCTACATAAGAGACAAAGTTTCAACCCGTTAGGGGAAAAAATTCTAGAGCACAGGAAATTCCAGCCTATGGACCCCCCCACAAGTTTGCAAGTTGCTTGGAAGACCAAGTGTGAAAAGAAGAAGAATTGAGGAAGCAACAACGAGGAGGAAGAAAGGGATTGCCTAACAAAATGCCAGACAAGAGCATATTGTGTTGCCTGCCCCAACAATTGAGAAGTTGAGTAGGTCTGGTCCATATATTAGATGCAGCATATGTAGACAAGAGGGCCACAACAAGTCCACATGCAAGGATGTAATTTTCTTCTATGTTTATTGTGTTCTCACATTTCTATAAAACATTCTTCTAACAAATAATGTTTGTGACTAATGTAATTTTCTTATATGTTTCATGTAGCATCCTCTATCCACAAGCACAAATGTGACATAAAAGAAAAGAGGAAGACCCAGAAAGGATACAACAAACAGTAGTCAACAAAGTCAACAGACTCAAGAGGCACACTCTCAACCACAAAGACCAAAACTTCCATAAAGGAGGAGTGCCAACAAAAAGAGAGTTGACTATGGCATGGGAATTTCATTTGATGTAGAATCTGGAAGGGTTGTGTACAATGTAAGTTACTTAGACTTAAAGACTATGGTTTGTTTCCTTCTAACTTGCCTTTACATTCCTCATTTGATGTTTCATATATACTTTCCTTTGTATGACAGCCTGGAATGCAAGGTGAAGTTGTTATTGAAGAAGGGAATGCTAGAGACGACATAGATCATGATGTTGATCCTGTCATACGGTTTCCTATTCCGAATGAAAGGCACATGAGAATGCGCAATCTTCAAAGTTTTAATGGTGAAGAGAGGAGAATTTCATTCATTGGTGATGGGGCCACTGTCTTCAAGTTCGACTAACTTTCCGTTCAAACCAACGGGTCTGAGATGGGTAGGCCAACCAAGCCTCACTACATCACAACTTGAAGCACAACAAACGAAAAAGATAGCTGAGTTAAGGGCAAAGAAACAGTGACACCATGTACATCTTTTATGTACTATTTTGGTTTTGGTTTGAAGGCTAATCCTACATGTAAATCAAATATTTTGCTTTCAACACTTGCATATTTTGTTGCCATCACAACCTATAGGTCCTTACTGATGTAAATGATTATGGCATTACCAGCATCTCATTTTGTATTATGGAAATCATATTGATATTACATATTTTGCGTGACCATATTGTAAATGAGGTCTTCTGTCTATAATTCGCCTATGTTGTAGTGGAACAAGGACAACATATGCCAAGCAAATGTGGATTTTTCATTGGGAAATAAAATAATTTAATTACAACTGACAAAGTGTGAAGGCTGGTTAATTATAAAATAGATAGGAGTATATTATGTTCAAAATAACATTATAATATTTTAATAACTATGTTTAATATGAAGTTTCTAATTTTATCTTTAAGTTATATTTATAAATAAAGACATGTAGAAAGCTAAAAATACAAAACAAAGGCCACTGTAAAATTTGATCTTTAATATTTTAATAACTATGTTCAATTCGTCCAATGTTTGGTTTTATATAAAAATTGTCCATTCTTTTGACCTATACACAGGGTGATAATCAAAGTTTTTTTCACTGTAAGAATTGATGAAGAGCCAAATTCATCCAACGTTAATGTGTTGCCTTTGTTACTCCAAATTCGTCCAAACCATGTCTACCATTGAGACCAATAAGAATTAATGGCACATGATTCGTTTCTCCTAATTGCACAAGCCAAAACTGAAATTTGCCTCAAATGTAACTAATATACTTATTTGAAGTCACTGAAATTATCAGCTTCTTGTTCCCAGTGAGATTATTGCTGAAAATTGCCAATGGAAGTGTAAATAATATGCTTCTTGTTCCCAGTGAGATTAGCATTCAAATTTACATTCTGAACATCTACTTTCTTCCTACACATGTAGAACCTCATTCAGTATTTGAACACAGAACCTCATTCAGCTACCATATAAAGTAATAATGAACCTAACAAAATGAAGCATTTGTTCCATTCAAACACATTAGGACAATATCATGGTTCAGTGCTTGTTCCATCACATAACACAAATTTACATTCCCATCATGACTACCTTGAAAGGAATAAATAAATAAAACAAAACCAAGACAACAACAAAGCAAGTTGCAATATTTTCATCTTCTTTCTCCCACTTTCAGCTGCAGCTACAAACTTGGCATGCCTTCTCTCCATCTTGTTTAATTCTTGGTATATTCAGCACATCTCTGCACCTAACCCTTCACCCTCAAGTCTTCTTTTCAGCCTCAAATTCTCACCATACAGTGAGTCTATGTGACTTAATAACTCAGAGATCACTTCAATTGATCTCTGACCCATTTCATTATCATGCCAGCTAAAATAACCACATCCTCCTCCCTGGCAGGTTCAACAAGTCATCATCAATATCTTTTGCAAATTTGAATATACCTAGAATCAATTTATTTTGGAAAAATCACCACATTGTCAATATGAACTAAACAAATATGAGTATCAATAGCACTATAGCAGCAATGATATGACCAAGACAAGCTTTCATACAACAACATTTCTCTCAAAAAATGGCTAAAAGATTCAGCTTAACTTACCTGGTTGTATTTTCGGCACCCATAAAATCTTCTACCAGGGTTCTTCTCACTCCAAGCTGTCCATCTAGGAGCCAATGCACCACAGTGACAGAACCTTTTCGGCCCTTCATACTCTGTCTCCACTTTAACTTGCCTGACTAAAGAAATCCTTCTCCTGCTCGTCGCCGTTGAATCAAAATTTGATTCACCTATTGGAGAACACTTCAAGGATGATGAGGCCACCGACAAAGGATAATAGAATAGAAATATAAAACTAGGTTCGCCAGCAATGGAGGTAGAAGGCTTCAACGCTCACCTTTTGCCTCTCATGCTCTGAATCGGTTGAAACCTCCAACTTCGACAACGATGGCTGGGGAACAAGTTTGAACTCTAACTTTTTTCCCTTTCCTGCTCCTGATTGATCAAAACCTCCAGGTTCCTCGCCACCGACGGTTGGGGTCTTATGTTTTAATGGTCACTTTTTCCCTCTCTTATGCCGAATGCATCGAACGCTCCAGGTTTGCTCGCTAGTTAGCATGGTATAAGCTTAGCTCACCTTAATCGATTGGCTCAGTCTACCGCGAGAGATTGGGAGTAAGGATTGAACCCTAACTTCTCCGCTTTCAATCGTTCTGGATGGTGTTCTTTATTTGTTTTTCAAGTTTAGGCGTAAAAACTGGCAGAAACAATAACGTTACAATAACAGAAAATGAGAGAAAATAGCATGATTTTTCAGTCATAATATTTATCCACATCAGATTACACGTGTCTGCCAGGTAGGATTTCTTGGTCAATTTTATGCTGAGTCGGCGGGCTGACGGTCAAAGATAATATTTCTGTTAACTCGGGATATAGACACACTATTTTAATTAGTTTGGGATACTGGATGCACCGAAAATTAGTTTAGGACACTGGGCACACCTAAGAAAATAGTTCGAGGTGCTGGGCGCACCTTAACCCAGAAATAAACACCAAAACTTTTTAGTGATGCCTTTTGTTGGATTGATGTGAAGTACGGGTACTCTTTTCTTTGCTATATTTTGAAAGTAGCTTGATTGGTAATGAAAAAGAAATAATAATAAATATTCTTTCATGGGAGGCATACAAGGGAGGTAACAAGTGTTGAGAAATTCTTACATATACTCAGAGCACCACCTTATCTGTGTTTTGGCCAAATAAAACACACCAACTCATATCATTGTTATCCTAGTTGGCATCCACCTAATTGAGGTTATTATTTTCTTTTAATCCTAGCTGGCGTCTTCCTTTCTCCTTCATTTGCCTCCAAAACCTGGCTTCCTCACCTCAAACCTTGTTCACGCCTCATCCTCCATCCTCTTTCTTCATGAACCAAATGTCAAAAGGGTAGAAAAGTCCAGATTAAGCCAACATCATCTATTGCTCTTGCCATTGATTACCCGGGGAGTGGCCGATTTCTTCTCGTAGGCACCATACAACCAAATCTTCTCTTTGCTCTAACTGGGAATCGTTTCATTTAATTTTCTTCCTGATTCAGAGTCAAAGATTTTTGAAGGTATGCGAAGCTGATGCATTTGACTAGAAAAGCTAGGAATTTTCTTCACGATTTTGGCTTCTACATTTTTGGTCTACGAAGTCATGTGTTTGATTAGTTGGCTGTAATTACTTGATTCTTTTATTTATTTACTTATATTCTTCTTTTTTCTTTCATTATAGCCTCTGATCTAAGAAACTGGCATTTTGTGTTGATGATACTGACATTATCTATGCCCTACAAATGATATTTCATTGTCTAGATGAGATTACTATGTTAGACTTCTGTGTAATTATGCTCTTATTTTAGATTATATTTCTAGTGAAAAATGCTATTTGTTTGCGCTAAAATCTTGTGTTCTCGTTCTATTTCAAGTGTGTTGGTTTGTTAATGTTCAATCAATATATAAGAATTCTTTTGATTTTACATTTAGGTTTAGGAAATTCAATTGACAAAGGTTTTTGACAATGCGGTTGAATATGCATATAAGTATTTTGTATATAGCATATAAATAATTTTTTCACTAGTATTGTTCTTCTTTGTTAATTTTTTCCCTTGCTGCAATATTATTCTTCTTCACTAGTATTATGCTGGATTTTGTTTACAACAGTTTGGAGACAAAAATATTATAGTTGATTCTTGAATGTCAAAGTGCAGGGTACATAAGAAATTTGTTGAAGCCAACAGCCTTTGACATCAAGTAAAGGTGATATTAGTGGAATTATGAGAACTCATTGAGGAAATTCTCTTAGACGGGGGAAGCAAGTATCAAACATGGAAGCTATGATAATCTTGTTTCGCAAAATTGTGTTTTTTGAAAGTCTTAGTTTGAGGATTTTATTGGGCTAAACAGCGTACATAGTGATTGTGCTAGGGGAAAAAAGTCAATGTGGTTAGGTTAGGATTTTTTATTGGGAAGATCATTGTAGTTTGTGTTTAGTTTTTCTTTGTATTTTAGATATTGAGGTGATGATTTTAGTTTGGAAACTCTATCAGATTGAATAAATGAGTTGTTTACACTTTCTTCTCTGTTATATTACATTACATCTGGGCAGATTTTCACAGTTTCAGTAGTATATTAGAAAACTTATTAAGATGACAGCTTTGTGTGTGTCTGTGTTATCTATTACGTATATTCCCTATGATATGGGGTGTATAGTGATACTTGCATCATAGCATGGACCAAACTTTTCATAAACCATGTCAATTGGTCTTATATAATAGCAGAAGGCAGTTGGGAAATATAGCAACACAATCAGCACAATAACACAAAATCCCTTGCGAGTAATTGGCTGATACAGTTCAAATGCAATGGTTGTAAAAACAGGATTATTAATAACCAACAATGGGGCTCTTAAAGTGAGGTAGTAATGCAAGGTGAAAAACTTGCTTCAAGCTGAGGTATCATTTGAGCTTTTTTTTTTTGTCAAAACAAAGGAACAATATTATTTCAAAATACATCTGCTTAAAATTGGCCTTCTAACAACATATTCAAAGTCACTACACACTAAACAATACAGTGAAAAAATCCAAGTTAGACTATCATGCTCTCCCAGCCAAGAAATCTATATTTAGAAGTCTTCCTGCCTCTTCAGTCTTCAATAATCCAATAATATGGATGCTTCTCATTTTTCCACCAGTTAAGAGATGAACTGCTTCCGGTCTTCCACTTCAACAAGCACGAGCTAGATGTAAAACTCTCTCTTCCTCACCACATGCAAATAGAGCCAGGAAAACATGGGTCGGCCCATTTAAGCCCTGAAATTATGAGGGTCGGGTTTGAAATTTTTTTCATCAAATGGAAAATAAGCCCTGGAGGGCTAGTTCTGGAGGGTTGAGGGTTGGCCCATTTAGGCCCTTTTATAATTTTTTTTTTTTAATTTTTTTTATATAATTCTAATCTTCTTAATTTTTTACATTGTTAATAATATTTCAAATATTTAGTTATTATTATCATTTTAAAATTAAAGTTTACAGAATGATTTGATTTATTTAGTTTTAGACAATAATTTATCTAATTAGATTTTTTAAAAATAGGTTAATTTGGACTTTAATAATGATTTGATTTATATTATATGCATTGATATTTTTAAACTACATATATATTTGATAATAGAGTATTTTTATACTTATATAACTTATGATTCTATAATTTGAATTAGAAATTCATGAGTTTCAATAATAATGTTTCTCACATTAAAGTAAAATAATACTTAGATTGTAAAATTTAAAAGTAAAATTCCTATAAAGAAGAAAAACTTGATATTTTTGTTATAAAAGAAAAGCATACTTATGAAAAAGAATAATTGATTATAGTGTTGATGAAGTTTCAAAAGATTAATGACAGTGTTTATTTATTGCACAATTGCGCTATAGATAAAACTTTTGAATGTTGTTATCTTGTTAATGAATGTTTTAGGTGTTCTTGGATGTTGATGAATATTTATATATAATGATATTTTGTATTTGTGACTTAAGTTTATTCATATTTATGTTTTTTATTAACAATTTCATTAATTTATTTTCATTTTTGATAAAAAAATATGAGAAATATAAAAAATAATATTTTTTCTTAAACGGGCCAAAAGCCCGCGAGCCCGTTAAATTAAAGACTGAACCTAGCAAATTGAGGTATTTTTAAAATTTTGGCCCTGAAAGGCCGGGCCTTTTAAGCCCGTCAGTCCTGAAGGACCTGTCCTGATTCCCATCTCAACGTGCAAAGTATTATTGTTAAGAGCCAATCCTCTTCCAGCCTTTCCGAGTTAGTAAGAAGCATGTCATGGGCAGCTAACCCATGAAAATTTATATTTTTCCCGCACTTGTAACCTCTAGATCTGTCTTTGCATTTTCTCACAAGCTCCAAAGTTAAAAATTTTCAGAAAAGCATCTAAAAAAATCTCAAGTTCTCTGTTTTTATCCATTTCATCCAACATATGGAGCATTTTGGAGGCATGTCTTACACAACATTTTTTAATCCAAAAATCTAGATGTGAAGATAGCCATATCAATCATACAATTTGAACAGCACTATCACATAATAAACCCAATTGATCAGAGAATACCATAAATTAATAATATCTTCCTAAGCCACCTCATCGACATTACTGGAGGAAAAAAAGGAACTTGACTGTTCAGGCATCAAGCTATCAATGACTTGTATGAGAGAGTCGTTGCAAGAGACTAGCTTGTTTAAGACAATTTTTTTTGAGAAATCATCCATCTTCTTAAAAAATCTCTGGTTTGCCTCTGACTCTAATTAGCAAGAAAATTGAACGAAAAGGTTCCAAGTTAGGGTTGAGAGAAGATTTGGTTGTATCGTGCCTAAGAGGAGAAATCAGCCACTCCCCGTGTAATCAACGACGAGAGTCATAGACGACGTTGGCTCAATCTGGACTTTTCTACCCTCTCCACATCTGGTTTGCGAAGAAAGAGGATGGAGGATGAGGCATGAAAAAAGGTGGAGGTGAGGAAGCTAGGTTCTTGAGACGAATGAAGGAGGGAGGAAGACGCCAGCTAGGATTAAAAGAAAATAATAACCTAAATTAGGTGGATGCCAGCTAGGATAATAATGGTGTGAGTTGGTGTGTTTTAATTGGTCAGAACACAGATGAGGTGGTGCTCTGGGTGTATGTAAGAATTTCTTACGACTGTCTTGTGCTTTCTAATTTTATTTTAATTTTCAAGGAACCTTTATTGATATATTCATGTCGGCCCACAAAAAAAGTAACCCTATATACCAGGGTCTGGAATCTGGGCCTCAAATAAGCCCATAAATACACAGTTTGTTTTTTTTTTAACAAACTGAGAAAATATAAAATATTCTCAAGGAGGGTCCGGCCTGAAATCTGCTGGAACAATCAATCACAAAATGTTGAAGAGAGCCTTCGTCGGCGCCGTCGGTGTTGCCGCCGCGCTCCGTCACCCCTGTCTGTCGGCAACTCGGCATGCAGGGACCCTCTCTTCCGCCGTGAATTCCATGCTTCTCCGCTCACTTAAGGATCACTATCTTGAAGTGGCCAAAATGACTATGCCTCCTGTACTCTTTCTAACCATTCAATTTGTTCTCTCTTACACCCTCTTGCTTGTTTTGTCAAAAGCTTGTTTTAATTTCTTCGGCCTTTTCGGTGCGTTGCAGAAAGTAGCTCCTCCTGATGCATTCTCTGTTGTGAAAGGCGCGCTTGATTCTGAAGGTCCGGTCCTCAAACGAAAATATGGCGACGAAGAAATCAGTATTTACGTAACGCGATTGCTTAGTGGAATGGATGACGAGAGCAGTGGGATTGATCAGTTGTTCCTTCATGTGGATGTGTCCAAACCCGGTCAGAACGAATCATTGATTTTCCTATGTGGATTGTATGAGGATGCTTTGGGAATTCACTCTGTTTCAATGAGGCCAAAGGACCCGAAGACTGGGTACCTTGTTCTTCCAACTCAATACATTGGGCCTAATTTTGAGTAAGTTATGATTCTTTTCTTCCTGGTTCTCTAGCTGTTTCGTATATTTTGGTAAATGCAATTTGCTTATGTCATGAAATCATGACATAGTAAACCATTTTAATGGAGGTAATTTGGCTCTCTTGCATATCTGAGAAGAAAGAAAATGATAATGAAATGGGAGATATTGATGTTCTTGACTAAATTCAACTAGAACATCACAAACTTCACTTGTAAGAAACGGGAAGATATTCTTCTCTTTTTTATTCTATGTATTTCTAGAAACTGAAAAGGAGCAGATCCTTCGGTGTCCATTCTTAATTTATAAAAAATAGAAAAAAGATGGTATAAATAAAAGACGAAAGAGCTCCCTTTTTACCGGAAGAGCAGATTTGATCTTGAACATATCCGGTGACAAAAGAAAGATCATCTTCAAATATGGAAGAAATTTAGTGTCATATTGAAATTTTAGAATAGAATATTTTACTTTACTCTTAACGCTGCTCTTAGTGTCTTTCCTCTTACTTGTTCATGAGAAACTTGTGGCATCTTGAAGTAGGTGATTGTTTTCCATTGGCACAAATCAAGATGAACTCTTGATTTCTATTAAACATATAGGTAGTTCCAATAGGATTGGCAAATTTAGCAAGTTTCTTCGAAATTCTGTGAAGTGGTTCCTTATGAAGCGGCTCGTGTGTCCTAATCAGGTTTCGAACTTGTAACCAGTCCATGCTCCATTGTTTTTCTTCATCATGTGGTATTGCATGCGTTATTAATTATACAATTATGCAATAACCCTTACTTCGACAGGGTAAAGGTACTAGACTGATGAGTTGTTATAGTTGTGTGAAATCTAGGGCTAGTGAATGTGGTTTGAATCATGTCTATCTTGACACTTTAGAGAGGTAGCTTTATTCAATTATGTTTACAGGGGAAAGAGGACACCTCGAAATCTTAGGTGAAGTGAATGAAGATTTTTAACTGCCTTCTGACAAACTGTTGGAATTGTGTGATTGAATTACTAGCTTACGATTTGAAGTTTAGAAGGTTACCACCCACTGTAATTATTTTTAAGTGGCTCTAATGTATCGGTCATCAACTGGTGAACTGCACCGGCTGTTATTTCTTGGTTGAAGAAGCTTATGATGGTGCATATCTGTCATCAATTGGTGAAGCAAGATGTCCTTTCTTATAACACGAATCAAGTAAAGACATTTGTTGTTCATGCCTTTTGGGGGATGCCGAAATACAATTGAGCTGAAATTGAGTGATTGCGTTGGACATGTTGCTAAATGGTTTCATGGCATGCCGGAGGTTTAGCTGCACAAATGAAATTGCCTTCATTGAAATTATGTAACATTCTGGTCAAAAAAATGATGAGCATGATGATCCCCTATGTTTTGTTGGTGTAATGAAATAGCTACCGATAATGTTTATTTGTTTATGATTAAAAATACATTGCGGAAAAAAGGGAAAAAAAAAATGCCCGCTGAACTCTGTTGGAAAATACAAACAATCTGGCTGTTCTGTAATCCCCATCCTTTTACCATCATAGTATTTGGTACCTTGTTTTATCTGTTCCTATTTTAATATGTGGGGGGACTTGTGAATTGACAGGGAGCTTGATGAAAGGACGAGGGATGCATTTCATAGTTACATAGAGGAGCGAGGAGTAAATGAGAGCCTCTTCAAATTTCTGCAAGCATGGCTTTATGTGAAGGATCATCGAAATCTAATGCGATGGTTCAAAACACTGGGTTTGTTCATTGATGGAGGAAAGCAGCCAGCTAAAAATGCTTAAGCGTCCCATATGGGATTATTGGTCATGCAACAATGCCTATGCTTCATGAGTAAATTTTGAAATATAAGGGCTTTGTACAATAGTTCTGGTGCATGCAACAATTCTAATATTGTGTTTGCTCCTTTTAACAAAAAAATATATTGTGTCTTCCTTCCCTTCGCTTTTAGATTATAATAGCTCATGATGCCTTTTTTCTAATGCTCATGGAGAAATGAATAGCATTGTTTATGATTGCTAAATATTACGTCTTGTTTTTTTATATCCAACTATATTCGGGCCGGAAAAAAGATCAGACTATTTCAAACGCTCATGGATTGGGCCCGTGGATCCGCCCAAAAAGATGGTTGAATATGTTTCTGTAAAACCTGCCCGAAAGTTATCCAAGGGTTTTTCTTTTTAAGCTAAGCACTAGTATTTTTTATTGAAGGCAATCTTGTTAGATAGTACCTCCGGTTGTTACTTTTTAATATAAGATCTTGTTTGATTTTTATTTTGGTTCTAAATATAAGGCGTCAATCCACTTTGTCTTTAATATTTATACTCCTTCGATCCTTAATATAAGACCCATTTAACTAATTTGATTATATTAAGAAAGTTAGGTAAATTAGTTAATTATAAGAAAAGTGACATATTTTTTCTAAAACATCATAATCATCTTTCTTAATACCCTTTTTCCTCTTCTACTTGATTATGGTTGAGGGAGTATCCATAAGGGTACTTCAAAGAAAATTAAAAAATATGAGAAATGGGTCTTATATTTAGTACCAAAATCAACTCAAAAATTAGGTCCTATATTAAGGATCGGAGGAGTATATTTTTTCCAAAATAGTCCTTCTAATAATGGTAATTCTAACCAACACACTTGATTAATAAGGATATTTTGGGAAGGATAATACCTATTTATTACAAATAACTAATTTAATTTATTTCTTTAATCTCTTCAAATTAATCAATTAGCTCTTATAATTAAAATCAGAGGTAATATTAAATATCAAATTTTGGTTCATCACATTATAAAGGAGTCAATCCTTTCTGTTATACCTAACTTCCATTAGATATCCATGGATTTATGTTTCCGTGAACAGCATTTCTTTTTGAGCAGGCAGCCCATCCTCCTAGTCCTAGCCGACATCTCATCTCATTGATCTCAGGAAAGTTTTGACAAAATATTAAAATAATACAAAATAATGTATAAGTTAACTATTAATCTTCAACTACATGTTACTTGCAATTTTTGTTTTGCAATTCATCACACTTCATTAGCTATTTATTACAATATTTTATTAATTAACAATTACTTTTTTCAAATGTCAAGTTGTGAAAATAAATGAATGAAAACCCCAGTTTATTTACGACTTTTATTTAGCAATTCACGACACATTGACTGTTTAATGTTAATTGAAATTTGAATTCAATTGAAATGCATTCATAATTTTGCCGTTGAAAAACAATTGTAATTTTTCTTTCCACATATTAAAAAAAATGTAATCATTCTTGATATAAGAACTAGACCATACAAATTTAAGGGTTAAATTGCAAATCTCCTTATCTACTGTACTTTTATACACACTTAATACTATAAAATCTTTTAAGTATGAAAATACACATGAAGATTTCAAAATAGTACAGAAATGTCATGACACCTCAATTTATTTTGTTTTCTAAATTTATAAAATTTTTACACAAATTACACTTATTAAAAAGAAATATGCGAAAAGAGTTTCTATTACACATGATTAAAGAAGATATCGTAAAAAAGCCAATTGTTATTTTTATAAATAACTAATCCAGGCTCATTTTCTTTCATATCCACAAATCCATGAACTAGGAAAAAAAATGACGGCCATTTCCCATTAAATATTTTTAAATTTTATAAATGTTAGCAACAAACGAATTCAATTTTATAAATGTTAGCAACAAACGAATTCAGAGTCATTAATTATTAAGTTGATAAACTGAGAACTCAACATTGAGTTGAGTGATAATATAAGATTTTGAACCCACCCAACTTCAATTCGGGGTAAGTGGATAACAACAAAAAGTGTGTTTGAATTGGGGATAATAAAACTGAATTTTATTCTATCTGACATTTGCAAAAATCAATTAAAACAAAAGTCAATTAGTATAACGTGATTTATATTTAAATTGGTATTTCTAAAAAATCAACTTAAAAAGTTAAAACTTGTTTGGATGGGTGATGAAAAAAATAAATTTAGATATAAAATGATGGAAAAAGAACATAAGTTTATAATATACTACCCCTAATTCTCAGTATAAAACTCAATTAATTAATTTGAAAAGACTAATAAAGTTAAATAAATTACTTTAAAGTATTTATATTTATCATTTTTTTTAAATTAATTTATTTGACTTGTAAACTAATGTGTAATCTAAATATATCTAATGATACACATAAATATTTTAGAAATATCATGTAATATATAATATAATTAAATAATTTATTTAGCTTCCTTAATCTATTTAAGTTAGTATTTTGGGGTCTTATTTTGAGGAACGAAGGTAATATATGATATGTATACAAGTTGATAAGTTTTAAAAAAATAATAAATTAAGTTAATTAAATTTTATTAGTTAATTTTTTTATCTTAAAAAAGAATCAAATTATTGGATCAAAATAGGAACTATTTAAATACTCTTATCTTTCTTTTTCATCTTTATTCCTTCTCTCTCCACGTTACAAGTTCTAAAAGGCAGAAATCTTAGCGTTATAACGCACATAGCCTTTTGTCCAGAAGTTAATTTGAGAAGCAACCTAGCCAAACAAACTTTTATCACCAAATGACTCACCAACGTGCGTCCTCTAGTTTCCTAGGCACGTTATCTCTCCAAAATAGAGTTCCAAACCAGCACTTAAGTTTGCAAAAGTCAATTGAAACAAAAGTCAGTTTTGTTACCGCTAATCTAAATACATTCTTAATCCATTCAAATTAGTTAATTAAATTTTAAATTAAAAACCGGAAGAGTATGCATATGTGCGCAAAATTAAAAAGGTTAAGACTTAAATTTGTTTAGAAAGTTTTTATTCAGAAGTGTTAGTTACCCAAAAAATTTTTAAAAAAACAAATTTATCCCAGAAGTTTCAAATTATAGCAATTTGGTCTCAAAGATCCAACGTTGACCACTAAAGTAGTGACATTTCACTGTCAATATTCTTAAAGATAAGGAGCAAAGTTACTATGATTTTAAACTTTCAGAACTAATTTGTACAAAAAAAAATTTGGATGCCCAGCACTTTTGAGTTAAAAACTTCTAAAAAAATTTTTGCACATTGATTCAAATTAAAATGCTTCCAAAAAAATCTTACATTATTTTGTTTTTTTTGGGAAAATTTTCTTAGAAAGAGATGAGGACTTGTCATGTTACATTAAACTAAAAGCCGCCCCTCCAAATTATTACATGGAATCTTCTTATATAAAAAGCCAACTCCCAGTTGGTTGAATGTGGCTGGGAATTGGCTTCTTGGATATACATCAGTACATTCCATGGGAAAAAACACAAAAACAATTACCAGTTTTGAATTTTATGCGTGGCATAACATTTAATAAATAAATCACAATATTAATGACTCATGAACAATGCGGCCTACCACAAGAGGGAATGAAGAATATTACAAGCTTGTCCGCTAAGAAACCCAAATTAGAAAATGAATACAGTGAAAAGGATAACGGAGGAAGCTTGCAATCGCAAACGCGGAAGAAGACTTTGAATTAGAAAATTCTTGCCTACCTCTCCCCGCTTGTTACGGTACACGCAAATCTATGACAATGCTTATTTCAACGTCGGCTGCTGCAATTCAAATAAACTAGTTAATCCTAATAAATGCAACACCATCATTACTTTGAAATACTTTTATGTGTACTGCTTCGCGGTACTTAATAAAAGAGTCAATTGATTAATTTAAATAGATTAAAAAAAATAATTAAGTTAGTTATTTACAATAAATAGGTATTGTCTTTTTTAAAATATTTTTACTAATTAAGTGTATTAATTAGAACTACTACTATTAAAAAGAATATTTTAAAAATAAATAAATAAATATAAGAGACAGTTTTATATTTATAATTAAAATAACAGTAAAACGAGTTTTTATATTAAAAATTAAAAGTAATATAACATAAGAAGTTCAAATATATGACAATGCTTATTTCAACGTCGGCTGCTGCAATATGCGTCACATAAATTATACCTCTGTTCAGATTGTTAATATTAGAGTTATTTGCTTAATTTAGACAGATCAAGAAATTCAAATAAATTAGTTAATCATAATAAATGCAACGTGATCATTACTTTGAAATACTTCCACGTGTACTACTTTCGGTCTTTAATATAAGAGCCAGTTGATTAATTTAAATAGATTAAGAAAATTAGTTAGCTTAGTTATTTGCAATAAATGGGTATTATCTTCCCTAAAATGTCTTTACTAATCAAGTATATTAGTTAGAACTACTATTATTAAAAAGAATATTTTGAAAAAAATAAATAAATATGAGAAATAACTTTATATTTATAATTAAAATAAAAATCAAACGAGTTTTTATATTAAAAATCGGAGGTAGTATAACATAAGAAGTTCAAGTAGTTTAGGAAAAAAATAATAAATATGACAGATAATGTTAAATGAAATTTTATATTTAGTATCAAATCTAACTCTTCAAGTAACTCGGCTCTTCTTTTTTTGATAACACTAACTCGGCTCTTCTATTAGCGATTGGACAAGGTATTATTTTGGCCACTATTATTATTACCACCTTTGATCACTAATATAAATTGTTTATTATTTTTATGATAATTAGACTAATTTGGTCATAACTTATTTTCGGCGTTTAATTGGCAGGAAGGTAACTTAATCATGGAGTTATAAACAAAAAGAACAATTTCCCTTAATAATTGAGAAGCGCACATAAAATCGTCTTTTTGAGATTGTATATATTCACCGGCAAGAAATTATTTGAAAGGTTAGGTCTCTGTCGATGTTGACCTGAGTATCGTTTATTTATTTAGTCAAGCAGACCTAAGACTGGACTCCGTAATGTCCTCATCATCCTTCAACAATTCTCACTTGAATCTCAGAACCAGTTTCGGTACACATCACTTTGATGAGCATCTTAAATTCATTCGATTTAGACTGTCTATATCTAATTTGAACAGTTCAGATTTAAAATATTTAATTAATTATTTTTAAATAAAAAAATTATTTTTTTACAAGAATAATAATTAAGAGATCATCACTGTTTTAGATTCTATACATATTAAAATAATTATTTTAAATAAATAAAAATAAAAATCAAATCAAATCTGATCCATCTAAATAAAAATTAATGATTCATATCTAATGAGTTTAAAGTAAACATCAAAGAAATGAGCAAAGACTGATTCCATCTCTTAAACAATCACTTCCTTACAAGACGCGTTGCTTTTACTTTTCCACACCTCAAACACTATAAATATCCACCTTCTCTTTTCTCAAAACCACCCGAGCAAACTAATCTCTTAATACAACGTAACAGAGATTATATTACTCACACCCACCCAAACATGGCGTCTTTCAAACAATCTTCTCTCTTGTTACTACCTCTCTTGCTCATTTCCTCTTTCGTTGAAAGGTCCTCCGCTGCCGGAATTGCTGTCTACTGGGGCCAAAACGGCGGCGAAGGCTCCCTCGCTGACGCGTGCAACACCGGAAACTACCAATTCATTAACATAGGTTTCTTGGCCGTCTTTGGCAATGGCCAGACACCACAACTAAACCTCGCAGGCCACTGTGATGGCACTGCGAGCTCCTGCTCCGTCTTTAGCGACCAAATCAAAGGTTGCCAATCTAAAGGCATCAAGGTGCTCCTCTCCCTCGGTGGTGCCTCCGGAGGCTACTCTCTTAACTCCGCCGACGAGGCCAACCAGCTTGCCAGCTACCTCTGGAGCAACTTCCTCGGAGGAAGCTCCGGCTCACGGCCCCTAGGTGACGCCGTTTTGGACGGCATTGACTTCGACATCGAGGCCGGTGATGGACAACACTGGGACGAGCTAGCCAAGGCTCTAAAGGGGTTTAACCAGCAGCTAATCCTCTCCGCAGCACCTCAATGTCCATTCCCAGACGCTCACTTGAGTAATGCCATCAACACTGGTTTGTTCAACTACGTTTGGGTTCAATTCTATAACAACCCTCCATGCATGTATACCAATGGAAACATTAACAATCTTGTGAGTTCATGGAACCAATGGAACACTGTGCAAGCCGGCCAGGTGTTCTTGGGCGTTCCGGCATCTCAGGCGGCAGCCCCAAGTGGTGGGTTTATTCCGGCCGACGTGATGACTTCTCAGGTTCTTCCAGCCATCAAGGGTTCTGCTAAGTACGGCGGAGTTATGATCTGGGATAGGTTCAATGATCTCCAAAGCAAATATAGCGACGCCATCAAGGGTTCCATTTAAAGAACTCATTATTAAGTGTGAACTTTTGAATAAGTAGCAGTTTCGGTAGGCTTGTTCCGAAGGCTACATGAGTGGAATAAAAATTTCTTTATGTAATAGATGAATTTGGAATGAATAATGAAATACGTAAACTATTCAACTGACTCCGACATTACAATAGCCAGCGCATGATACACACACAAGTTAAGGTGTCTACAACACCTTAAGTATTTTTGTCAAGTGCATCTAGTATCTCAAAATAATTTGTGATGCGTTTAGTACTCTGAAGTACTTTTTAGATGTATTCAGTACCCTAAAATATTATGTAGTACTATAAAGTATTTTTTTCAAATGCTTCCAACATCTTAAAATATACTAAAAAAACACTTTATAGTAATTGATATACATTCATTTAACAGTATTTTTTAAGAGTAATGACAAAATTAAAATTGTTCATGAATTAATATTTTAAAAACACAATCACCTCTGAAAAATTAACACCTTAAGAGCAAAATTACATCACAAAATAATTTAAAGTGTTGGATACAACTGAAAAATATTTCAAAGTGTTAGACACACTAACAAAATACTTTAAAATACTAGAAGCAATTTAACTATACATACATATTTATATATGAAGCTATACGAAAAGTTGTGCTATTTTTTCGGAGTTATAAGTAGTGCCATTTAGTCCGAGTTTTTTTTTTTTTTTGGGAATCACCATTTAGTCTTGAGTTATATACGTACACAATAATTGTTCAAATACGTAAGAGCACTTAAAACTAAAATGAAACTTAACCAGGTGATACCAAAATATTTTATTCTATGAAGTTCAATATTTTTTTTTAAAGCAGTTCAGTTTTTGGAACTTATTATTATTCATTGAAATATTGATCATATGATCTTCCATTACTATAAGAAAAGATTTTAATGTGGGTTTTAAAAGGGACTTGTAAACTAGAGACATTTTCCCCCTTTTAACATTGGTTAAAAAATGACGTAAAAGGGTTTTTTTTTTGTTTTTTTACAATGGTTGAGGGAGATCCATAGGGGTAATTTAGAGAAAATTGATAAATATGAAAACGGGGTCTTATATTTAGGACCAAAACCAACTCAAGAATTGGGTCATATATTAAGAACCGGAGGAGTATTATAAATAACTAATTTAACTAATTTTCTTAACCTACTCAAATTAGTCAATTAATTTTTATATTAAATACGGAATGTGGTACTATGATAAAAGAATAAGAGAATGAGATGAGTGACGTGTTTTACACTTAATTTCTTAGAAGAACGTCTTTCGGTGTGTTTGGATTGCCAATTCATCGAGCTAACGTGCTTGGGACTCTACGAAAAGCAGGTTCAAGGTTCATTTACAGATTAAAGGTTGTTTGGGTGGACTTTGAACACAACTAACTTATGGAGGAAAATCTTAGTGCGGTACAACACTAGGAATATAAGCTTTCTCCGTTTCTAACATGGAGAGAGAAAGAATGAAGATGAAAATAATAATAACGGTATTAAGTAGATCCTATCTTGATCCAATAATATGATTTTTTTTGGGTAATAACTTAATTATTTTTTATTTATTATATTTCTTATATTTATCAAATTATATACATGTAATGTATTGTCTCAGATCCTTAATATAAGACCCAATAAACTAATTTGAAGAGATTATGAAAGCTAAATAAATTACTTAATTATATCATATGTTATATGATTTCTCTAAAGTATTTATATATATCACTAGATTATAAATAAATTTATAAGTCAGGCTATTTTAATTTATATCTGAATTTATTTTTTCATTACCTATCCAAACAAATTTTAATTTATCAAACTGACTTTTATTTCATCTAACTTTTACAAGCGCGAGTTAAGGTAAAAATACATCAATTTTCTTGGCTATGGGAAAGGTTCGATTCAGGGATATTCGACTAGAGTGTACACGGATTACAATCTTTGTACAGAAACCATAGGCCGAGAAGATTTTGGGAGTGCTTGGCCTTTTGAAAGTCGCAAGACCAAATAGCTTCTCATGATTTTGTGAAGCATTCTGGAATACCACAGATCTTGCGATTGCATGTGAGGAGGACGAGGCGCTTTTGTGATTTTCTTGGGGCGAGGGAGAGGAACTGTTACTGTCTGATAAAGTTGAAGGAAGAAGGAGAGGAAAATGGAAAGAAGGTTTCTCAATATATAGTGTGGCTTTGCTGTGAGTGTGAGGAATAGAGAGAATAAGAACGAAAAGTTGAGATCAGCCTCGAGCCAAATCTGCGAGAAATTAGGAACGCCATTGCTGGAAAATTTCTTGGATCACAAGATAAGAAATGGTGAAGGCACTATCTTCTTTGCAGCCATGAGCCTATAGTAAGACTGGTGAGTGGTGAGGCATTTACTTGGCATGGCTCCTTTTTATGGCTAAAAGTAAAATAAAATAATTATTAAAAAAGCCATTGATTCCCATTTTTTGTAAAAATTAAAAACTGATATTTTGCCATTCAAAGCTAGTTCAGTCACTAACATCGCATCATCACTTTCTACTTCCACTTTGTTGAAGCCTAGTTCCCAGCAAAGCTTAAGTCCTTCTAACACCCCCCATACTTCCGCCTCTTCTGCAGTACTTACATTGAGCTTGACAGTGTATCCTCTTATCCACTCACCTTGATTCCCTCTAATTAATCCTTCACAACCTGCTGCTCCTCCTCTGTTTTAGCATACCATCCGTATTGAGTTTACACCATCCTGCATTCCGTGGTGTCCACTTAATTAAGCTAACTTCTATTTCTTCACGCTGCATATTCACATCATCCCATCTTCTCATGTAAATCCCTTAATATTGCTTAATGATGGAGTTAGCATTGCTTGGAACTGCTGCTGCTCCTTGTTTGTGTATTATTAAGTTCCTCCATCTCGAAATCGCCTTGCACTGTGTGGCAAACAATGCCGGCCAGTATATACATTCCTGCCTTCTTGCACTGTCTCTAATGTTGTTTTCCAACCAACTTCTCCACTAACTTGAGAAAAATTCCTCCTTCTTCTCCCTCGGCACGAGCTTCATCCAGATTTCTACTGCCCACTCATGATCTCTTAATGCATGTAACCCATCTTCTTTATGTCCCCTACAAATTTGACACACTCCTGAGCTTCCATCCCATTTTTTGATATGTTTCTGGTCGTGAGTCTCTTGTGTCCTGCCATCCATAAGAAAGTTTTAACTCTTTCTGGCACTTGTAGCTTCCACACATCCTTCTAGAAATGGCTCCTTGTCCCTTCATGACATGCTTTCAACCAGCTGTAAGCGCTTTTCGTGGTAAATTCTCCATTCCTTGTCAAGGTCCACTTCATGCGCTCAAACTCCTCATCTCTTCTGTGGGGTGGGATAGCATTGAGAATTCTTCCGGTGGTTTCTTACGACAGTCATTGTTGGATCCCCGTAATTTGCCAGTTTCCATCCTCATTCATGAGGTCACTGACTCTCAGGTTCATATCTATGTCTGCTCCCGGAGGAATATAGGAAATTAATTTAGTCTCACCACATATCCACTTGTCAGTCCACACTTTTGTATTGCATTTGTTTCCAATTTCAATAATCACAAGCTCCTGAAATATCTCTAACATCTTGGCTAGCTCTTTCCATAACCTAGCGTCGTCATTTTTCGCCAGCATATAGCATCATTCTCACCTTCTCTTTCTCCATATTTTGCTTTGAGAAAGTACTTTTGTAAGACAGAAATAATTGTAACGTAGTGGTAAATTAAAACTGAAAAAAGGGAGTGAATAAATTCTTAAATTTTCAATATGTTGTTTGATGGGGATTAGGAGAGGGTCTTCATCCAAAGCAACCCGTTGCTCATGGGAGTGATGAGTATCCCAAGCTCATCATATTTGGATCATTCAGATTTAATTTATCCTTTTTATTTTTTTAAACAATTATTTTAATAAATATAGAATCTAAAATAAAGATAATATCTTAACTATCCCCAAGGACCTGTGTGTAATAAATTACAATTATGAAATTACCTATTTACCCCCATTAATTTGAACCCAATGCAATTCATTTACAACCTCAATAGTGGCTATTGACAACCCGAGGAGAAGTGGTTAACAGCTTCGGCAATGCCCCTGGTATCCCACAGAGTGAGTTGTTAGGGGCACTGCTGAGGTTGTTAACCACTTCTCCTCGGGTTGTCAACAGCTACCATTGAGGTTATAAATGAACTGCTGCAATAAAATTAATGAGAGTAAATAGGTAATTTCACAATTGCAATTTATTACACACAGGTCCCTGGGACTTAGGAATCATTTTGGGATTTTTAAGGACTTTTTCTGAATTAATTGTCTTCTGTGAGACCTGCGTGTAATTTTTTCCATTAATTATTGCAGACTTTTGGAATGGCTTCATGCGAAGGATCATCCAAATCTAATGCGATGGCTCAAAATACTGTGTCTGTTCATTGATGGAGGAAAGAAGCCAACTGAAAATGCTTATTATATTCATGAGTAAATTTTAAAATATAATGGCTTTGTATCTTATTCTTAATATAAAAGTTAGTATAAAATTTAGTTTAGTCCTAAACATAAGATCGCAATCCACTTTATTTATCATATTTATTTATTTTTTTAAGATAGTCCTTGTAATAATTACACATGTTAAATGTTTCATCAAATAGCACTTGATTAATAAGAGTATTTTAGAAAAAATAACACATATTTATCACAAATAACTAACTTAACTAATTTTTTTAATCTACTTAAATTAGTCAACTAGCTCTTATATTAAGGACATGAGGTAATACTTTTGTTTTCTTTTGTCATGGATAATGGCTTTAGAAAAAGAACTATTTAATAACAACCTTGTCAAAAACTACATAAAATGTGAACTATTCCAAGTCACAACTTAGAAAAGAAAATTTCCCTAAAAAAAAAAGAAAAAGAAAATTTGATTAGCTAATCAAAATACTCTTCCGATTCTTAATATAAGACCTATTTAACTAATTTGATTAAATTAAGGAAGTTAGGTAAGGTAGTTAATTATAAGAATATGACATGTTTTTCTTAAAACACCATAATCATCTTTCTTAATATCTTCTCTTCCTCTTCTATTTGATTATGGTTGAGGGAGATCCATAGGGATAACTTAGGAAAAACTGATAAATATGAGGAATATGTCTTATATTTATGACCAAAATTAATTTAATAATTAGGTTCTATATTAATAACCGGAGAAGTGTTTCTTAACAGTGGATTTCTCATATTTAATTTATTTAAAAAAAGAAAGACAAATAACCTGAAAAAGAAACATCAATAGAATACGCCGCTCAAAACACACACATATTTTTTTTCTTTGCCCACAAAAAACACACACATATATTTGATTCGAACCACATCCAACTGCTTTCGCGCTGAAGAAAAGGTCCAACTGTTTCGAAACGCTCACGGATTGGGCGCAGGGATCCGCCCAAAATAAGCGGTTGGATCTATTTCTGTAAACCTGCCCCGAAAGCCTACACTATCTAGGGTAAGCCGTGGGCCGATTCCCTCATCTAAGGGCGAGCAAAACCGAACCGAAACCGAATACCAAACCGAACCGAACTCAATTCAGTTTTTTCAGTTCGGTTAATTCGGTTTTTATTTTTTTTTCTGTTATTTCAGTTATCGGTATTCGGTTTCTTTTAAAATAATTCGGTTAGAACGGAATAACCGAAATTATTTGAAAATAATTCTTTTTTATTTTTTTTAATACTTCTCCCTATTTTCTTTTTACAGACTACTTTTCTGTCTCCTCACACCATCATTCTCGGGTCTGGCTTCTCTCCGCTGCCGTTTGAAGCAAAATAACAATGGAGTGAGAGGAGGAAGTGCTTGTTAAATGTTAATCCTAGTTTGTAAACCCAACCACCCCAAAACAATTTTTTTTACACCCTCAGGATTAGGCATTTCCTCTGTCCTCACCCAATGCCGTTGTCTTTATCCATTTGCCGAAGTACCCTGCCCTTTATTTTATTATTCTTGCTCCCTTGTCATTTTGCTTCAAACGGTGCCGTGCAATGGTAGCGGAGGGCAGCGGGCCATAACCGCAGTGGAGAGAAGCCAGACCCATCACTCTCTACCATAGCCTTTCACTCCCATCTCAAGCCCTAGATCTTACAGGCCGCACCATCACAGCCTCCTTCTCCAAAGTCCAATCTCTAGTTCTCCTTTCTCCTTCTTCAGCCTTCGCTCTCAAGTTCCGATCTTCACTCCTTGGCCGCGCAAAGTTCGGACTCACACCTCGCTACTCGCCGCAGTCTCCTCCCTCCTTGGCCGTTGCTTGTTGCGTTCCAGTAGATTCCCCCGGTTCTCTCACCTTTCAATCTTCGTTATTGTGAGGTAAGACATATGCCATAGTTCAAAATTTTCAATCTTCTCTCTCCCCTGATTCATCGCTCTAATATTTTTTTTAGGGGGGCTCTTAAAATCTGGAATCTTCTCAGGTGTGAATTGTGATGAGAAGGAAATAGCTCTTTCCTCTCAAGTAGCCTTTTCACGTAGTCATAATTTAGAATATGGTCCCAAAACCATTATTTGTAAATTAACCCTATACACTGTGTGTTCTCTCTAGTCTCTCTGCTTTTCGAGCTGCCACTTTCATACCGGCTGTAGTTTTATCCTGAAAACGCCTTATGCATATATAAAGAAAGACCATCGCTGTCCAACAATGTTTGACATAATTAGTGGTTTATTAATGATGAATATAATTTTATGATAGATGTAAACATCTCCAACTTATTTAACTATGATAGTGTGTTAAGATATACATATTTGTGAATAATTTATGTTTCACAGAAATGTCGGCCAAGACTTTCTTACATGAAAACAGAGCTAATAAAAAAAAAAAGGAACAGGGGGTGTGAAATCAGTGTGTGGGAGGTGGGTGAGACATCCACTGATTCAGCAATCTAGTTTACTTGATACTTTCGTTTGAAAAGAGTGATTAATTAACAAAAATGAATCAAACTTCTATTCAACTTCATAACATATTTTATAAGCGGTCCTATTTTGATGATTTTAATTCAAGATGCGAAGCTTGGGTTTTGGAAAAGTGCGTGGAAGTAGTGCTACATTTTAATTAACATCATTTTATGCATTGTATTGCCTAAAAGGAATGTTATTGTTTGGACTTTTATTCTGTTGGTTGGCTACATGTATGATATTTGGAGCCAAAAAAAAAGCCCCAAAAGAGGCCCAATAACCGAACAAGACCACTAACCGAACCAAATATATTTCTTAATTCGGTTCGGTTAGTTAATAATGTTTTGTTTCGGTTCGGTGGCGGCATTATGATCTATTCGGTTATTTCGGTTAGTATCACTAACCGAACCGAATAACCGAATACTCACCCCTACCTCATCATGCTGATCTCGGGTTGTCCCCCAAGGTTTGGGTGCTGTACGGTACTGGAGTCGATATTCTGGATTTTGGTATCCTCTGGGAATTTTACTGAAAATTGTGAGTTTAACAATTTCATCTCTAACAACTTGCGTTTTTCTTACTGTACTACTCTTTTTTTTTTTTTAATGCGATTATCTCCAAGCTTCCAGTGGTACGATAACTTTAGATTTAAGGATTGGCTTATGGATCGGCGATGATAATTGATTTTATTTCTTGCTTTGGAAAGAAAACCTTGCCTTGATTAGCTGGTTAATATTTTCGTTTGCTCTTTGTAATAGATTTGAAGTTGTTAGGCTTTTGGAAATTTTTTGTCGAAATTACACATTTTATGAAAAATTTCATGTGATGGCCAAACAAATGAACAAGTTTCGTGTGGGTATTCTAAGTCTTGTGCTACTTGCTTGGTTGGGTAGTTCTGGGTAGTTACATCTGAATTTCGAATTTCCTTTATGACTTTCTGGTGATCGCTCTATTAATCTTGATATTTTGTTTTATGTGGCAGCAAGCTGAATGTGTGAGACAAAGATGGGTGAGGCGGGGGAAGCAGAAGAGCGGCCTGTTTTCAGAGATATTAGACGCTATTACTGTGAATACTGTGGCATCTGCAGGTCCAAGAAGACCTTGATAACCGCTCACATCAATACCCACCATAAGGTAGTTTCTTGGATTAAGAAGTCCACTGTAAACCTAAAAATTTTCAGTTTGTCAGGATTAATTAAATAACTGCTATTAAGTTTTATAAATCCTGATGTCTCTCAGGAGGAGGTGGAGAAAGCCAGAATTAATACAGATTTCAAAGTGGAGGATGTAAAATCCAATACTTGCAAGGAATGTGGTGCTAGTTTTAAAAAGCCTGCCTATCTAATCCAGCACATGCAAAGCCATTCACTTGAGGTATTTATTTGTCAACGTGCTAGTATCCTGCTGTACAAATTTAGTTCTTCCAAATTTACATGGTTTAAAAATCATTTGTGGGGATTTTGAGCCGTAGTATGTTTTGAATTTGTAGAAAAAGATGGCAGATCAAAATTGATTTTCACTTGTCGATGTCTGTGATGTATGAGTGGAATTGTCTGTTTCGCATCTGTCAGATTTTATGTTTGATCTGTCCCCCTTATCTGCAAAAATTCTAACTTTTTCTGATGTATAACTGTTTGTATTAACACTGGATGATATTGGTTGATCAAGCTACTGAAGATGCATGTTTTTGCAGGGAGTTAGTTTATAAGATCTTATTATTATTGGAAAGTTGTGGATGTTATGGCGTGAAGCATTGGATCCCAGACAAAGAACTCCAAAATGCGGGAGGCATCATATATCAACCTGATGGATCAGTATCAGGCAGGGAGACCTCCTGAGAAGCTCCATCAGGGTGCCTCAATCACGCTGAGTTCAGTAAGGTTTCAGTTTGTTTGCTTTTGTCTTGTTCTTGTTAGAGCACAGTTAAATCTGTTTAGATTTTGGCATTGCAGCTTTTAACGCTCATTTAATGGTTTCAGAGGCCATATGTGTGTGCCATTGGGGATTGTCAGGCAAGTTACAGAAGAAAGGACCACTTGACTCGTCATTCTCTTCAGCATCAAGGGAAAACTTTCAAGTGTCCTGTTGAGAATTGCAATCGCGACTTTGCTTTTCAAGGAAATATGACAAGACATGTCAAGGAATTCCATAATGAGAATTCCGCTTCTACTACTGCTGAAAATTCGAAGCAGTATGTTTGCCCGGAAGTTGGTTGTGGAAAGGTTTTCAAATTTGCATCAAAGCTGAAAAAGCATGAAGATTCCCATGGTAAGATTGTTTTCATTTACAATTTTTTTAATTCTTGAGATGTTTATTGAGTAGCCTTGACACAAACTTTAGGGTGACTCAAGTTTGAAATGATATTAGACAGTTTTAAAGATTGTCTTTAACCTGCAGTTAAGCTGGAGTCAGTAGAGGTAATCTGCTTATATCCTGATTGTATGAAGCATTTCACAAATGAGCAGTGCCTTCAAGAACATATCAAATTGTGCCACCAATACGTGACCTGTGAGACATGTGGAAAAAACCAGTTGAAGAAGAATATTAAGCGGCACCTCCGTATGCATGAAAGCAGCACTTCGTCAGGGACGTTTAAATGTGAATATAAAGATTGTGGTAGTCAATTCTCAAGTGTAAGACACTCATATTCCTCAACTGTTTAATGTACAATTTAAATCTGAGTTGTCTATGAGCTAGATTATTTTTTATGTAGTAGTCATTTTTGTAGCAACTGAATCTTACAATTTATTCGGACGACTATGCATCAACAGAAATCTAATCTCCAGAAGCATGAGAAGGCTGTGCACTTTGAAGAGAAACCTTTTGTGTGTGGCCTTCCTGGTTGTGGCATGAGATTCTCTTACAAACATGTGAGAGATAAACACGAGAAAATTGGATCGCATGTCTATAGCCTGGTAAATTCATTCACTTGTGCCTTCAAACTTGTTTGAAGAACTTTGGATGTTTTAGGTGTAATGTGCAAAGTTTTTTTATTTAAAAATTTATGGATTTTTGGATGCCTTGGTACAGGGAGATTTTGAAGAAACTGATGGGCAGTTCAGATCAAGACCCAGAGGAGGGCGAAAGAGAACATGTCCTACTGTTGAAATGTTAGTTAGAAAAAGAGTTACTCCACCCAGTCAATTGCATCATTGGTTACTTACGCAAGAGGATGATCAGATGCATTAAGCTGTGTGAACTACATTCAACCATAAGCGTCCTCCTCCTACCATGCATGTGTTCCACATTAATGCTTCCGGGGAATTATCAAAATGATTCTACGCCAACCATCCAGAAGTGGCACTACGGCAAATCTGGGTGGGAGAAATTATGTGAAGAATCATTGACTTAGGGCAAAAGCGTAGTAAATTCTGGTGCCTGCTGTATAGTATAGAATTGACGTATATTATTTACTGATTTGCTGTGGAAACTATGTTGATCTAAGAGAGATATGAATATATATATATATATATATAAACTATTCGACCGCTGTCGCTTTTCCATTTTTGTCAGGGGAAATGACCAAAAAAAGAAGTTGGAAATTATTATATGTCAAATAAGAAATGTTAACAAAAATTTGTTGTTATTGGTAAATTTACTACTCCTCGTCTTATTTATAGAGTAGAGAGAGAAGGTATTTTTGGATTTTAGTTATAGGATACGGAGAGAAATTTTTTGTGTGGCTGAAAAATTTTATCTCATTTATTATTGTGATGGCTTTGTTTACATGAGGTATAATGTATATTAAATAAGAATAAAGTTAAAAAGTTATTAAATTCGAAATATTAATCATTGAAGTTTAATGTTTTTTTTTGTTTGTATAAAATATGCTAGAAGTATCTTATAAATAAGATCAGAAGAGTATTATCAATATTAAATAGAATGTTGTTATCAAACCTAATTTCGAATTTATTAATTCTTTTTTGTTTGTTATGTTGTTAATAAATGAGTTATTGACATCTCACCATTCCCGAAGATGTTTTAACGAATGATATACGGTTGTCAGTGAAGAAATACATGGAGTCAAGCATTTGGAAATATGAAAATTCTAAACTAATTTAAATATATTAATAAAATTATTCAAGTTAATTATTTACAAAATATGTGTATTGATCTTTTTTTAAAATACTATTTTAATCATTAATAATGAAAATTATCTCGTTTATAAAAAAAATTTCTTTAGTATATGCAATAATAATGATATTTTAAAAAAGTTATAAATTTAAAAAACAAAGTGAGATACTTTATATTTAAGTCAAGAATTAATAAATAAATTCGGGATTATTAATGATTCACAATTTACGCCTAACATGCTACTATAATTTTACCAAATGTAAGGTTTACTCATTTGCATGTCTTCAAAAATTCAAACGAAGTTTTTATTTGTCCAAAGTTTAATATAATAATTAGCTCCCTGTGTCATGTAGATCATATTAATGTAATGTGAGTCTAGATTTGTAATTTTGCTTGGAAAAATGTAGTCATTCTTGATATAAGAATTAAACCATATAAATTTAATTCCTAAGGCCAAGCCTCTATTTTTCTAATATAGATTTAACTTGAATATAAGATAAGAAAGGAATCAGACTTAGTTGATACTACCTCCATTCTTATTTATAAAGACCTCTAACGTATTTCAAATATATAATTATACATATTTTATTTAAAGTTTTAATTTTTCTCATCCTTAATGAACTGTAAAATTTTCAAGCTAACTAACTAAGTTCTTTTAACTTGAGAATAATTTAATATTTTCTTGGAAAAAAAAAGAAAAAGAAGAAGCAATTTTAACTAATTTCACCAATTCATCTAAAGTTACTAGGAGCGAGTATTATCAAATTTAGAAATTCCAAAAGTGAAAATCTAAGCACTTAAGAGAGATAAAGTAGAGAGAGAGTGTCTGCCAAGAGTAAGTTTTTTCCATGTCTTCTGTCGACCTCACTCCCCGGAAACAGCCTCCAGATCGTCCTATGGAGGGTCTGAGGGCTCCTAATGGGGGGATTGAAGATCAAAAGAGCACTGCCGGGTCAGAAGGAAATGTGATTACGTTGCCAAGGCAAGGGAATACTATGAGCGGGAATGAAGAAATGGGAAAAGACGAAAGCAGAGGTAAATCGCAGAGGACCACAGGAACTTTTACTGGGGAAGTATCCTTGAGAGCTCGAGAGGAGGACTGGATGTCAGAAGAAAGTGAACTTCCAGTCAACACCACCTCAACCCCCTTGTCCTACAGAGATGCCGTTAAGCCCCCGGCGGGAGATGAATAGAACCCACAGAGAATGAAGAGGGTTGAAATACCCTGGGACGGGAGTCTACTTCAGAGCAATGAGGAAGAAATGAAACAAGGAGTAGAGGTAGTTAATACTGCAGGTTGCCCCCATATTTGCTTTTCTGAAGAAGAAAGGAGAAGGCTAGAAAAGAACTGGGAAATGTCGCTGATTATCAAGTTGTTGGGTGGAACTATCGGCTTCATGCAGATGAGGAGGAAGGCTCAGCTCATGTGGGGAAAAGCAGGTACGGTAGATCTCTCGGACATAGGTAATGGGTACATGATTGCAACCTTTACAGACTGGGATGACAATTTCTTTGCTCTGGAAGGGGGCCCTGGTTGGTCGCCAGCCACTATCTAACGGTCCAGACTTGGAAACGAAATTTCCAACCTTGGAATGAACGTATCAACCGAGTAGCGGTGTGGGTGAGACTACCGGGTTTACTAGGAGATTACTATGACCGTAAATTCTTTTATAACCTGGGTAACCAGATAGGAAAGGCGATTAAGGTGGATGAGATGACACTGACAAGAGCAAGAACGATGTTTGCTAGGATGTGTGTAGAAGTGGACTTGAACGCCCCACTACTTCCGTCTTATATGGTCGATGGAAATATCCTTAAGATAGAGTATGAGGGACTACACCTGATCTGCTTTGGGTGTGGAAAATTCGGACACAATGCAAAACATTGCCCGGTCAAAAACACGCAAAATGGCCAGAACCATGAAGGAGAAAAACAGGGGGAGAGGAAAGCATCCAACTCCGGTGAAAGCTCAAGGAGCCCGGAAAACAAACCGGCAACCTCTCAGGAACACCCCTACGGAGGATGGATGGTGGCACAAAGACCAAGACGGGGGAGAAGACCTGTACCTAGAGAGGATCAGACTAGTACTGAAATAAAAAAAGGTGGCAGAAAGGAGAAGAAAGCAGGTACCTCGAGATTTGCTGTGTTGGAAGTTGAGGAAGAGACTGGCGGGGAAGAAATAGTACAAAAAGGAAACAGAGTACCACTACAAGAAATTTCTAATGAACAGAAAGGAAGAGAAAGTAACCCGAAAAAGCATGAACCAATGAAAAAGAAACAAAATGAAAAGTTAGAGTTGAGAGCCAACCAAGGGAAGGAAGTACAACGTGGCATATTAGAAAAAGAGAGCGTAAAAGTGACAGAAATAAAGAAGCAACAGAGAGCAGAATAAGAGAGAGATCAAGGGAAAGGTCAATTGAGAAAAAGAGAGAAGAGCATGAGAGAGGAAGTAGCGCCAGTAATTGCAGCAGTGGGACCGACTCAGTGACACGGCAGATTATCAGACATGAGAGAGATACGTGTAAGTTGGGCCAGTCTGAAGGGAGACCAATTGGGCCGAGAATTGAAAATAGAGAACACCTAGAGGACAACATTGTGGAAAGCTTCTTGGGTAATCTTCCAGACCGGCCTGAGGCGGGCATGGAACTGGACACTAAACCACCAGACCCAGAAGACCAGTTGGAAGCAACGGAATTGTATAAGGAGGAGGGGCTAGTCCGGCAAGGAGAAGAAGGGGACAGTAAGGAATGCGATACTGAACTCAGTAATGCATAAGTGGTTGTTGGTTCATCCTCAATTTACCATTAATTAATGATTCTAGTCTGGAATGCAAGAGGAGCAGCCGGTAAGAATTTCGGAAGTGCTCTAAAAGAATTAATGAGAAGATTTAAGCCTCAAGTTGTTGTTTTAGTGGAAACTCGGTGCAGTGGGACTAAAGCTCAGGAAGTTATTCAACGGATGGGTTTCAAGAACCAACTGATTGAAGAAGCTAGGGGTATGACAGGAGGAATATGGATTTTGTGGAATGATGACAACTTAAAAATCAGGAAGATTGAGAGTAATAAGCAGTATATTCACTGTGAAGTCAACGAAATAAGTAAGGAAAGTTGGTACTTCACTGCAATATACGCTAGCCCGCGTGAATTGGAGAGAAGGGAGCTATGGGAAAGGTTGCAGGAGATAGCCAAAAACATGAAGGAGCCTTGGCTTTTAGCCGGGGACTTCAATGATATAAAGGAAGCTGAAGAACAAAGGGGAGGGAAGCTAGTGAATGAGAAAAAATGTAAAAAATTCAGAAATAACATAGAACGCTGTAATCTTATTGACTTAGGCTCTGAGGGGCCAAAGTACACTTGGAAAGGACCTGTGATAAACCATGCTTGTAGAATGTATAAAAGGCTTGACCGTGGACTTTGTAATGTAGCGTGGAGAATGAAATTCTGTGAAGCTGTGGTGAGAGTAGGACCAAGGACTCAATCTGATCACCACCCCCTATGTATCCACCTGGAGTCAGAAAGAGGAAACAAGGAGAAGAGACCTTTCAGATTCGAAGCAGCCTGGCTAAGACACAAGGATTTCAAAAGCTTTCTTGTTGATCAGTGGGTTGGGCAAAGCGAAATTGGAATGAAGTTAAAACGGTTGGAGGAAAAGCTTCATGACTGGAATAGAAATGTGTTCGGTCATATAAAGAAAAAGAAAAATGAGTTGTTGAGAAGACTGGCTGGAATTCAAAGAGCTCTGCAAAACCGCAAGGATAGAAGACTTGAGGAACTAGAGGAATCTTTGAACACGGAACTAAATGAGATTCTACAGCAGGAAGAGTTGTTTTGGTTTCAGAAAGCAAGAACAAAATGGTTGAATGATGGAGATAGAAACACAAAGTACTATCATACCAAGACTACCATTCGGAGAAGAAGGAACAGGGTCACCACCTTAAAGAATGATGATAGCAATTGGGTTGAAGGGAAGGAAGAAGTGGGAGCCTTGGTAAATGATTATTACCAGAATCTATTCAAAGAGGAGGAGACTGATAGAGGATGGGTTACTACTCAGCACTCATGGCCAAGTATTGAGAAAGAGGATTGGAACAGGATAAGCACTGATATAACAAGAGAGGAGGTGAAGAGCACCATGTTTTCCATCGGGAGCTTCAAAGCGCCTAGTGAGGATGGATTTCCAGCAGCTTTCTTTCAGAAAAATTGGGAAATAGTGGGAGAGGATATATACCAAGCTGTTAAACAAATGTGGAGTAGACCAAAGACCATAAAGGAGGTGAATCAAACCTTAATCACACTTATACCCAAAGTGGACAGCCCGGAAAAAGTAAGTCAATTTCGACCAATCTCCTTGTGTAATGTGGTGTATAAATGCTTCTCTAAGCTGATTGTGTTGAGACTGAAAAATATCATGAAGGATTTGATTTCCCCATTTCAAGTGAGCTTTGTACCTGGGAGGAACATACATGATAATGTAATTATAGTTAATGAAATGATCCA